CTCCGCCACTCCTGGCACCTGGGCTTCCCCTGTGGCTTATCAGTATTAGCGAGTCACAGAGCGAGGTTAGGGGACTATACAGCGAGGGGCAAAAGAGTTCTTTTCTACACAAAGGCTTCAAGAGCGCTCTTGAGCAGGCAAGCGCTGCGGTCATTGCCATGCTCAGACTCAAACTTCAACAAACAAAGACTGTACATGTCTGACTCCTGCACGAACATGATTGAAACATGAGATATTAGAGCAGATCGCCATCACCTCCAAATATTAGAGATACCTCGCATCATCGTCACTCATCATGTATTACGTTCTCCTTGTCCTCGTCGTCGACATATTGTGATCAGGCTCCCATACATCATCAACCATCACATCCTGTCACGCTCACGCCCAAACCTGAAAGTGCTTGTTAGTCAGACTTGACATACCACAAAGGCTACTTATACACGATGTGCCAAACAAACACTACACCTGAACCCAAACTGAAGCCTGAACCCTGACCTTATCCTTCAACCTAAACTCTCCCAGTGGAACAACAAACCCGAAATTCGAATAGCTGTGGATCGCACGCGAAATGCTGGGCATGTTACAAGGGAGACACCAAATATCCAGAGCGCCGGGCGCCAGCGACGGAGCAAGATGAGTCCAACCACACCTCCAGCACCAGCATACGACCGCTACGAAAGTTATGTTGCAGGTTCAGCAAGATCCCTGCTCTAAGAGTATAGGATTTGGGCTTACAACGGGCCCAGGGATTTGGGTCCTGGCTTTTTTTGGGGCTCAACAACACGAAGGGCTCAAGCAGCAAAGTCCTGAACTCCTACCAACCTTCAACTCGGCTTAGTTTGGCATTAACCCCAACCCTAAAACCAACTCAGCATCGGCCTAGGGATATCATCATGACGTCGGTCCTCGCGCGCGTGTAGAACGGCAATTGTCAGAACAAGAACAAATCTCAAGAATCGAGAAGGTGACGAAACACATGTTCGGCTTCAGGTCGATTCAGCCCCCCCCCGACGGGGGCCCGGTATGCCTTGTAAGTACACACATAAAAACCGTCTTGAAGAGTGAAACGCTGCAAATACAAAAAACATCAAAACACAAGTCATACCTGGGAAAGTGAAAACACAAATGGTCTTCTATGTGCAAAAGGAAAACCTGAGGCTATTGATGTATGCATGTGTTCACCTTTGCAAGATCAGTGAGGGGGATTAGGACGCAGCTATGCCCCTCAACCCTAAACCGCACTCCCTCTCCAAGCCCCAGACCCTCCATTGCTTAATCAAGGGTTTAGGTTTTTCGGGTTATTGTGAAGGTATAGGGTTAGGGTGTGGGGTTTGGGCATGTGTTGAGCCCCCGCTTTATTACAAGCTTTGGAGTTTAGGGGTTTTGGGTTTTAAAGGAAAACGGGGTTTAGGGTTGAAGGGCTTTGGGGGCTTTGGGCTTAAGGGCTTATAGGGCTTATAGTGGGAGTTAGGGTTGTGAACCTGAACCCTCTGCCATACACCCAACCATAAGCCAGAACCCTGCAAAAAAAATCAACGAAGCAAGCCGCTAAACATCCTGTGAGAAAAACACACAAACCGAAACCCGATTTCCTACACCCTAACCTTTCACCCTGAACCCTTGAAATCCTTGGAAAGGCCACCCAGAGCGCCAGCAGCAACATCTGCACTTCCAAGTTGCCGAGGCGACAGTTATGCACCTGGGAAAGATTCTGACAGTCAGGGTGCCAAAAGTTGCACATTGTGGTGTTCAGCCCACGATCAGGAATTCATGTGCTTATGCTTTGCTGCCGGAGCTGATAGAGCGTGATCGGCAGCAGCTTCGCCAATTAACAGCATTCGTGACCCTGGCAGGCCGCTGACAGACTCACAGATGTGGCTTGTGGCGCGCGTTCGATTTGTGAGGATTTGCACAAATTCAACAGGTTGCATGTGGTAGCATTGCGGCATTGTCAAAGATAAAGCATTTGAGGGTAACCTGCCCTGACAATGGCAGTCGGCCATGTCTCCAGGGAGGCCGTGGAGAGGGCTTGCACAATGATAGATCGACGTGAGCTAGCGGTACGTGGAGCACCTGGAGCCAGGCCATCGTTGGTACATGGGTTGCGCCGGTTGTAGCTTGCATGTTGCGAAGGGGCCCTTTGCGTCAGATCTAGTTCTCTCGTTGAAGTTCATTCTCGACTATGCACAGCCTTTTGGCCAGATGCGGCAATGCAAGATCGAGAATCGGATATTTTTGAATACCCAGCTTACATGTGGCCATCCCCAGTCTGCAACGCAACAACAGACTGGTGGAATGGAAAGGGGGAGGAAAAAGGCCGGCTCAAGCTGCCAATCGTCGGTTTCAGAGTTAAGATCGGGGAGCTGGGATCGAAAGAAGCTTGTTTGTTCTATGCCCTGCAAAGTTACAATCAGACCCTACTTGGAGGCTCATGGGTACGTATTTGTAGGGTTATAAGTTATCATTGGTGTGCAGAATCTGATAGAGGAGCACCCCAAAGTAGATACTCTGATCTTGGGAACCTCCGGAATATTACAATTATGCCGGCGTAGACCCCAAACAGTGAGGAGGGCCAGAAAAGGCCAAAGAAGGCCAGAAGAGCACCGACACTCCCGGAGACAAAAAATACAAAAGTTCGTGGGGGGCCGAATTCCCTTGGGGGTCAAAAAGACGCCAACCACTGGGGGATTCGGCTTTGCACGCGTGTGGAACGGGGGGTCAAAAAGGCCCGTGGCCAACCACTGCCGGGGCCTGAAGAGGCCACAAGAGGCCGGAACGGAATTCGCGCGAAACCACAGCGGGAGCCTCGAAACGAAGCCCCCCCCCACCACGTGCGCCGTTGCGGCCCGCAACCTAAGTGGACCCCCCAGAAGAAGCCAGAAGAGGCTCGAGCAAGCCAGAAGAGGCCGGAATTCACGCGAAACCACAACGCAACGAAATTCGTGCGAAACCACAGCGGGAGCGTGGAAACGAAGGCCCCGCCCCACCGCGTGCGCCGCGGCGGTCGGCAACCTATAAGTGGCCCCCCCAGAAGAGGCCGGAATTCGCGCGAAACCACAGTGGGAGCGTCGAAATACAACGGAATTCGCGCGAAATCAAAGCGGCAGCATCGAAACGCAACGGAATTCGCGCGAAACCACAGCGGGAGCGTCGAAACCAAGGCCCCGTCTCACCGCGCGCGCCGTTGCGGTCGGCAACCTAAGTGGCCCCCCCAGAAGAGGCCTGAAGAGGCCGGAATTCGCGCGAAACCACCGAAACGCAACGGAATTCGCGCGAAAGCACAGCGGGAGCGTCGAAACAAAGGCCCCGTCCCACCGCGCGCGCCGTTGTGGTCGGCAACCTAAGTGGCCCGCCCAGAAGCGGCTGTCGTGGCCTGAATTCGCGCGAAACCACAGCGGGAGCATCGAAATGCAACGGAATTCGCGCGAAACCACAGCGGCAGCATCGAAACGCAACGGAATCGCGCGAAACCACAGCGGGAGCGTCGAAACCCAGGCCCCGGCTCACCGCGCGCGCCGTTGCGGTCGGCAACCTAAGTGGCCCCCCCAGAAGAGGCCTGAAGAGGCCACGAGAGGCCGGAATTCGCGCGAAACCACAGCGGGAGCATCGAAATGCAACGGAATTCGCGCGAAACCACAGCGGCAGCATCGAAACGCAACGGAATTCGCGCGAAACCACAGCGGGAGCGTCGAAACCAAGGCCCCGTCCCACCGCGCGCGCCGTTGCGGTCGGCAACCTAAGTGGCCCCCCAGAAAAGGCCTGAAGAGGCCACGAGAGGCCGGAATTCGCGCGAAACCACAGGGGGAGCATCGAAATGCAACAGAATTCGCGCGAAGCCACAGCGGGAGCATCGAAACGCAACGGAATTCGCGCGAAACCACAGCGGGAGCGTCGAAACCAAGGCCCCGTCCCACCGCCGCGCGCGCCGCTGCGGTCAGCAACCAATTCCTTTACCCTGAACGTAAGAACCCCATTGTGCAAGCACTGTTTGGGGAAATATATGTACCTAAAAAAATACATAACGAACGCAGCTAGGGAAGCCACATGAAGTCCGAAACCTTTGAAGCCCCGGATTTCTCTGAGCCCATACTATAAAAAAATGTTGCAGCAAGCGGCCAACTTCTCGGGAGGCGCTGGGCAAGGGGTCCTGCCTGGCTGGCCGCCCTGGCCTGGGCCCGGGCATCAGTCAAGAACCCTGTTGACGCAAGACTGTTTCTTATCTGGGCGTCGCGCCATGCACGCAACTCCATGGCGAAATCCGGGCCTTGAAACACTAAAGGGCTGCCAAAGCCTGAATGCGAGATACCATGGGCACTGACTGTGGGGAATGCCGTTTATGGGATGTGGGCTCCTCTGCTGTCATGGTCAGAAGTTGCTACGGTCGCCGGTATTTCAGTCTTGGGTTTCGAGTCCACGGCTGGCTGTCGCTATTGATGGTCTTCGCCTCATGCACCCGGATCCCCTTGAGCCGCTCGCGTATGGCTATGGTGTTGTACTGCACCGACCTATTCGCGTTTGCGAGCAGCCCCACACCCCGCCCAATCTAGAGCACACCCTTTGCCCGGCGTCAAGGGGAGAGGATGTCAACCACGGCCTTGTGGCCCTGCCGGGTTTTCTTTGTATTGGTCAGGGTGGGAGGGAGTGCAAGGGATGACACATGTGACCCAGGCAGCTCTGCAAAAGACCGCACGAAGAGTGCCTGTTGGATGTGAAGGCTCGGGAATAAGCGGCATCGTTCAGACTCGCTGATCCCAAGAGCTAGCTATACTGGGACTGGGAACCTGGTCCGCACTTCCCCGAGCACTGTGCTCATAGTTCGGCGCTGAGTCGAGGAAGGTAATTATCCTCAACGACTGAAGGGATCCCTTTTTGCACTACGTCGAAAAGGCGCCCTGTCATTGTCCTACCACGCCGTTGGCAGTTCTTTGATGAACTATTCTACTGCTCCATGAACCCTCAGAGCCTCTTTTTGTCGCGCAGTTGGCTCGGCGACACAGACTTCAGCAGCGCCAGAGGAGCTCGTTCAGATCTGACCGCACAGCGAGCGAGCTGGCGGTGTTGGATAAAACCCGGAGTTGCTTCTCTGCTTCTGCAAAGGTTCGGCTGGGATCACCGTCAGTTCGCCAGAGGATCTGCAGGTCCCCGACTATGACCTGTTGGCAATTGGTACTGGCCTGATGGTGCAAGATTCTGACCAAGAGGGATACCCACTGCTGCCGCTGAAGCTTGGTAAGTGAGCGCAGAACAGTTTGGAGATGTCTCGTGCACTGCAGCACGTCATTGAAGTTCTGGGGGCTGATCTCGGTGGATGAGAGTAAATCTTTCATCAAGACCAGCATGTCTTCTGCGATCAGCTGCTGCACGAAAGGGAAGCAGCCTCCGTAGTGGAAAAGAGCCATGTGAGCAGCCAGGCGTACGGACACATCCGCATCGCGGCAATGCCCAAGCACGCTTGTATGTTACGACGAGTTGAGTTGCCATCCCAGCTGCATGTGGGCATTCGGAACATGCTGTTGCGGAGGTCTCCAGCAAATTTTCGTGGGCCGTCATCACTTCCTTCTGCAAGCAGTCTGGCGCACATGCGCATCCCCAAACTGCAGCCTCACCTCCCAGCTGCTGGAGCTCCGTGGCAAAGATTGCGAGGAGATCGCCTCCTCAATCGCAGAAACTGGCATCAATGCTGCTGCTCTAAACACAAAAGCCATGCACCCTATAAAGCCCGAAGGCCCGAAAGCCCCCAGGAGCCTCCAAATTGCCGTCGTCGGCCGGCCTCAGCTGCCAGAAGAAGCAAGTGGTTTGAAGTTTGGGGTTTAGGGCAGTTTAGGGTTTAGGGGGCAGAGCCCAAGGCCTACATCATGGGGGCTGTTGCAAAAAATCATTGGTCCTCTCTTGCTGCCCTCAAATACAGACAAGAGTACGCTCTCGAACTCTATGGAGCACACTCCAGGTTCTCAATTCCTACTTCTGAGGGCAGCGCGAAAACAAGACACGCGGAGGCACGTAATAAGCCATCATGAAACAGCACTAGAACCCGAAAGATGCACTAGGAGCCTACAAACCCAAGGCAAACCCAGAACAGGCACGCAATCAGGACAGAATTGATGGTGGCTGCGGCTCTGCTGCTGGAACCCCACAGCCCAAAGCGTTGCACACACACGTGCTCCCCTGCTCCCACTCGTGCTGATTCGAAAGATAAGTTGGCCCTGGGTGCAAAGGTCAACAGGAGAATGACAAGAGCCACTGTTGACGCAGTTGCAAAGAAGAAGAAGCGCAACATCTTGCGCCACAACTGTCATCCCCCCAACATCCCGCCGCAATGCCCTGATTTCAGCATCCCGGCAGCCCACGCTTCGCCGATGCCCCCGTTGCACTTCCACAGCAAGATTTGAGAGACAGAACCTCTGGCCGGAGAGCATGTTGCTGCTGAGACGCTCGACAGGCTGATGCTCGTGGCAATGCAGACCCTCCAGCTCCGTCTGGGCTTTCGGAACCTTAGCTTAAGACATGGCAGCAGCTCGGGGATGCCGAGAGGCAGCAACCTGGGGGGGGGGGGGGGGCACTTCACGCACATGAGCAAATGGCCCCAATCCAAAAAGAATCTAAACAAAGTTATTCTGCGACTCAGCAGCGGCCTTCGCCCTAAAAAGTGTGATCAAATGCACAACGCTGCGCTGACGAGCACTTAAGTAAGCAGTAACCAGGCACACGTCACTTGCGTCATACTGAGTCGAAAAAATCAAAAAACCACTTAAGACTGAAGTGTCCGCTTGCACAGTGAGGAGCCGGTTCAAAGCAGCTCCAGTCATCAACGCTCCAGACGTCGTGGGCCTTCGACTTTAATATGTAATGGCTGACAGAATTTATCACTGTCCTTAGACACATAACATACTGCCATAGCCAGCAGATGCCAGAAGTGCACCTCGACCCACTCCCGCTTCCCCGCTGCATGTCATTGATCACTCAAGAACACAGTGCCCTAGCGCCCTTCGCTCCTGCTGGTCATCCACGTGCTCCTCATCAGCCACATTAAAGAACTCGCAGTCGAGATTCCGGCGTACAGGGTCAATGCACCTCGTTCCGCAAGAGCAATCTTACTTCTGGAAGCTGCTGTGCGCCTGACTAGCTTTGCTAGCTTTGCGTTTGCCTGTGCCAGGTTCTCTCTAATAAGCGCAGCGGCCTTGGAGACAGCGCCTCCTGGACCTTCTGCTTCTTTTTGGTGTTTGGACTTGGGGAACTTGTGGAACAAGGTGTGAGAAAGCGCTTTCTCTTCACCTTGCTCTGCATCTTCGCACCCGCGACTTCATACCTCAGAACACATTGCGAATGATTCTGCCCAATGGGCTATCCGGTTATCCCTTCTCGGTGTGCAAGAGTGGCCTGTGGACAGCAAGGCGCCCTGAGAATCGTAGATGAGGCATGGAATAAGTTAAGTGTGATAAGAAGATCATCAACGGGGACAGGGTTGGCACCTCATGATTTATCTACATTCTGTTATCTCACGCCGGAAGGGGGGGGAGAGAAGGAGGGAGAGAAGGGGGCGAGAGAAGGAGGGGAGAGAAAAGGGTGGGGCAGAAGGGGGGGAGGAGGCAGTGGCTTCATAATCTCTGAGCAAAATTTTTGCCAAAAAAACACTCCCAAGAACGGCATGTGTACAAAAAATTCTCTCAGCCCACCTACCCCCCCACAGACCCATCCCCAACTCGTGCTGGCAAGAATCTGAACTTGGAGCTTGCATATCTGGCGTTCAAGGCTCGCAATGTGGGCAGCAATCGCACCAGATGATTGCTCTTGTCGTTCGTAGAGCTTCTGCAGCAAAGTGTCCAGCCTGGGCCAATCACACAAGTGCTTGCTAGCGCTGCAAACGACAGCGAGGTTCCACCATGGCTGCCACAACGCAGGAAACCATCTCAGACCCGGACGAAGTCAGCGAGGTTAGCTGCGGCTGCAACCCTTCGAAACTTTGCTCAAAGGACTGCGGGTCACCAGACCTCAGTTCACTTTGGACAGGCAAGGCATAGGCAAGGCATTGGATGGTGCCGGCTGCAAATCTCCGACGGCTACGCAGCGGACATGCAATCGTCGATCTCCCTGTTCTTCAATGCTGTTCAAGAACGCGTAAATATGCAATAATTCTTTCCATGTTTTCACACACGTGAACACTTCAGCCCATGCAGCAAACAAATCTGCCCGGTTTGTGGGTTCTCTATACAATACAATACTTCAGCTCCTCCGGAACCTGGAAATCCAGCCAGCAGCAGCAAACCATCAGGAGAGAAGTACTGTATTCTCATATAAAATGAAAAAAGTCGAATTGTATTGTAATCGTCCGAGTAGTCTAATTGTGTCTATGAATAAATACAGCATTACACGAAAGCGCTGTAGCAATGCAGCATTGCACGCCTAAGCCTCACGCGAGGAAGTAGCCATCACATCTTCGGGCCGATCCTTACACCGCAGCCATGCCTTGCACTCTGGTGGGAATTTGGGGTTAGGGTTTAGGCGGTTTAGGGTTTAGGGTTGTATTCAGCCGGTTTCACTTACCATGAACTGCATACTCAATTAAAGCACGCTCTTTATATCAGAGCTTAGCACGGGCCAATCTGGTTCTCTCACCAGCTACCAATGTAGCACAGCGCAAGACACTCTTCAACCAGGCCTCATCATGCTCCTCACACAAGAACTGCTGCAGAAGTCGTTGAGCCGTGGCATCAGTTGCCATGGCGACGAAAAAGGAGGGCGTAACGATGAAACGACAAGGTTGGGGCTTTGATGGGTTAAGGGTGGGTGGGGGCGTGGAGGGTGCCTCCACCATCATGGATAATGTCAGCATATGTCAGCTGAACAAGGGCTCATGCCGATTCTTTTCATGGAGGAAACCCAAATGAGGTGTACTTGGGTTAGGTTGTACCGTTCACGTAAAGTGGTGCAAGTCCTGAGTTCACAAGCAGGCTGAGCGTTTTGCGTCGCTGGTGTGTGACACCCTGGGCTTCCACTGGAATCAGCAGTTGCAGCTCAAGTTCTAGAAGTGTACTGTGATGCCAATGTGGTGTGTTTTAACTGTATGAACGTGCATGATCTTCAGTGCTCGAGCCTGCTTGCAATTGTGCTGCAGCACGAAAAACCGACAGGTCCTGCAATACGTAAGTTATTCTAAACATGAACTTGGTTCTATTTCAGCCTTGGGGTTCTTAGCAAATCTCGAGGCCAGACTCCCAGCCATGCCAATCAGGGCTGCCAAGGACAGAGCCGAACATCAACTTTGGCAGCACGAGTTGTTATACTGTTCTGCAATAACCAAAACTACACTGTATATACTGTATTGTGGTATGACCAAGACCTGGCTGGGAAACATAAATCGCGTCTCCGCCCGACCCGAGACATAGCATAATCAGGCGCGGTTGCCTCACTGTCACTCTATCGCCCAGATGCCACTTGCCACCTACCAAAAATGTCCCTCTTCCTTTGCCTTTCTTGCTTCTACACCCGCTGTACTGTACAAGGGTGAAAGAGGCTGAACCTGGGCATGCTTTGCGACGATGCTGAGTCCTCCTGATGTAAGGGGGGAGGCTATCATCGAGGACAAATCAAAACCTAGGCGCGACTGCACAGCTGAAACAACGCTCCATACCTGTGCAAACGTGCGCTGGGACATGTGACGACAATGTGCGCTTTGCGTGGCCTGCGTGGGACGAACAACATGTCACGTTTCGGCAACATTCGTTTTGACTCGTTTTTACCGAGGTTTTAGGCATGCTGAATTTTGTGGAAACGAAGCAAATTTCGATATGCGTTCTACGTGGCCTGCGCGGGACAAAACCCACTTTTTGTATGCCAATGTTTGCCAACTTGCTTTCCGTTGCCATTGCTTTGGTTTTCCGCGGGAACCCTTGCTGCAAGACAAAAGTTGCGTTTTTGTGTGGGAAAACGCTGGACGCAAATTTTGGAAGTTTCGTATGGCCTGCGTGGGACAAAAGCACGTCCTACAAGAGAAACATGAACAGGAGGATCACGGTCATGGGCGGAGTAGACACAGAAGCGACGGTCATCGTTCAGCAACATCATCATTATCAACATCATCCTCACCACCACCACCACCACCACCATCATCATCATCATCATCATCTTTATCGTCGTCATCCTTTATCAGCAGGAGAAAACGCACGAAAACATGCTTTGGGAGTGAAGGTTTCAGCTTGATGGAAACACGGTACACGCCCTCATCCTCATCATCAGCGCCAACGTCATCAGCATGACAAAATGCACGACATGAAGCTGAGGGAATGAAGTTTTCGGCTTGATGAAGCCTGACAATCGGTACCCCGAGCCGCCTCACGGCTCAGCACGTCATGACACCGGTGCCGCTTCTGAGTTTCTTGCATCCTCGCGAGTTTTCGCCAGGTTTATCCACGGTGTTTTCCCGATCTTGAAGTTATGTCTCTTGTCTTGATGTTCAACACTGAGGCCCCTGCCCGCCAGGACCGTAATAACCAACTGGGTTTCCCTAATGCCCTGATACCCCTGACTTCCTTTCAACATGGAGGCTTGTGGATTGTGTCCTCGCAGAGGACCACCCCAATCAAGCCGGCATTGGGCTTTAACGCGGGGCACCCACTCCAAACCCAGTCCTGAACTCCTGAACCCTGCCTACAGCATCTTTCTTTCACGAGATCACACCGCAGCAAATGGTGATGTTGCATCCAGTGCTTGAAATGGATCGTCAGAGCCTTTGTCTCCTGGGGGACAGGGCAGCAGGCACGCACAATGAGAGGTTGTTTGGGGATGCTGGGGCGGGTGCAACGAAACAACCTGAATGGTTGGATGTTTTTTTTGAGCTCCCCGTCTCCAGGAGCAGCAAGTTCCCGTACCCAATGCACCAGGGGAACGTATCCTCCCCCGACGCGCACGGTGACTCCACCATCTGCCAGCTGCATGAACACCTGGCCAGGGGCATACGGCTTACATGCTCACATCTCAGAAGCCCCATCGAGTCCTCAAACTCAAACCAAGATAGCAACTCTCACCTTCTGCTCTCCGAGCTTGTATTTCTTTGGCCCGGTTCTCGTCAGCACATTTCCTTTCAGGCATCCGATGCCCAGTTGGCGGATCTCCTCACTTTGGAGATGGTGGGGGAAATCAAGTGTGCAGGTACGGAGACACGATAAGGATGATGAGGCGTGGATCCCATCAAGGGGTCATAAATCCAGTCAGAATGGCCCTGTCTAGCGTGAGAAACATTACAGTATGAAACGTTGCTCGTTTGCCCCGATCCTTCTCCAACAGCCGGTCCAGCTCGTCCTCCGCTGAGGCGAAGTAGTCTGAGGAGTCCGACCGTGGCTCAGGTGGCTTTTCCGGTTCGGGTTTCTCGGCCCGAGTGTCCACGAGCCGCTGCAGGTCCTGGATGCGCTGCTCCAACGCCTCCTCCCGCGCCCGGTGCTCAGTGGCCTCCGCAGCCATGGTTGTGGCCTTTGTGGCCTCACGCTCCTCGGAGCGCCGCAAGGCCTCTGCACACTCCGCCAAGTGGCGGCATTCCGCGTGGTAGCTCGCCTCCTCCGCACAAAGCGCCTGCCGGAAGCGTGCTGCCTCCGCTGCCCGGACCTCTGCCTGGGCAGCCTCCGCCTGCAAGGCCTCTCGAGAGGCCTCTTCGACCCGCTGGCACGCAGCGGCCTCCTGCTGGCTGGCCTCCTGCGCCTCACGCTGCTGACGCTCCGACGAGCGGAGCTCCTCTGCTGTCCGGGCACGGCGCTCCTCTGCAGCCCGCTGCGCCTCCACCGCCCCTTCCAGCGCCAGGATCTCCAGCTCGCGGCCTGCAAGGCGCGCGGTCAGCTCCCTCAACTGCTTTAGTTTGGCAGAGTCCTGCCGCGTTTGCGTGCGAAGCTCCGTTGCGAGGAAGCGCTCCGCCTCAAAGGACGCTGCGAGGTCTTGCATCTCCCGCTCTTTCAGGTGCTCCACTTGTCGCCGCTGCGCGGTCTGGAAGAGAACGTCCATCTGCTGCCATGCTTCTTGCTCGGCAAGGGCACTTGCCTCGTACTTCAGCTCCAAGACTTCCGCTTGGTGGCGCAGGTCGGCGGAATGCCTTTCCTGCTGCCAGCTCTGCCACTCCTTCGAGTGTTGCAAATCCCTTTTCTGGAGCGCGATCTCCATCTCCAGTTCCTTGCAGCGGTGCTGCCTCCGTTGCAGCTCCTCTTGCTCGTGGACCATGGCCTCTCGCGCCACAAAGATTTGCTGCTCGTGGTTGGCTGCACGCTCCTCTCCTTTCTCTAGCTGCTGCTTGACCAGAGCTTGCAGCTCGAGCAACACCTTTGGCTCCGCATCTTCTGACGGCAGAGATATGTCCTGCTGTGGGCAGCCCTGGCATGGACTTCCACAGCTCGGCCCTAGCCAACTCAGCTCCTCTCTTGGTGGCAGCGGACCAGAAGAGGTGGGCCCCTTGCCAGCCAAGGACCGCTTCAAGTCCTCCAGCCCTTGCAGGATTCCTGAGGTCACCCAAACTCATCTTGACCAGGGAAAACAGAACTCCAAAACAAAAAACAAGAAGGCTCACATGGCTAACAGCGTCTTCAGCACCTACTTCTTGTCCTAGCCTCCCCGCCCAAAGGGAACCATTGCTTTCTTCTCCAGGGATGCCGGAGACCTTGCTAACGACGCCTGGATGGACCGGACCAGCATCAACTCCTCGGCCTTCAGGTGGGGCCCGCGGGACCCTTCCCCAAGAACTTCAGCTTGGGCATCTAGATTTTCATTTCAGTCACTCCGTGGCTGCCCAAGCAAAGGCCCACCCATGCACATCAGCACCCCTGCTGGCCTCAAGTGTCTGCAGGGAGACTTTGTCCACAGCGGCCAGTCTGGGGCCCGCCAGGTTTGAGCTGGTCACATCCTAGTGCAGGAAAGGATGCGACTGTCGAACACTGCTGTTTCTGGATTGACCTCTAGCGGAACGAAGCCCAAAACACCGAAACAGGCGAGCCAAGCCCCAACCAACAAACGAAGCTCAAAGATCCTCCAGCTGTAGGCCCCGGACGTGCATGTGTAACTAAAACGCATACCTCAACATTCCAGTAAAACAACGCAATGTTTTGTGAGCAACGGCACTTTCTTCTCCAAGGATGCTCCCGGAGACCTGGCCAAAGCCGCTTGGATGGACCGGACCAGCATCAACTCTTCGGCCTTCATGGTGAGAGCAAGTGTTTTGCAATTCCGCGCACATCCTCTCGGGCTACACGGGCGACAGTAGTTCTTTATAGCAGACAATATGCGCTCGAAACATCCTTTTCAAGCCCACACGAGGAGTGTAAATTTCTAGCAACACGTTCTTGTCGTGACAGACCCAGAAATGTGGCGAACGAAGCCAGTCTCCTGCAGACTGCCTAGACTGGAGACGTTGCGTCGTTTGTTCCCTAATCGTCCGCATAGGAAAAACCGTGTTGCTTCATTCATGGCGAAATTCCTAGAACAAAGGATGTCAGGACGGGAGTACATGGTGGTGGTGGCTTTCGCCATGAGAATGGTTTGGTAACCAGAGGAACATCACCAGCCTCTTGGGCCGGGTGTAGCGAAGCGCATGCGTTAGCCAAATTGCTCTCTGCATCCTCTGTATGTCATTGATACAGAGAAAGTCATCCATGCACACCCCAACAGCGAATAGTTCTGTCGGAAGAACTTCAGGTTGGGCACCCAGATGTTGAGTCACTCCAGACACCCGAAGCAGGACCTGTCCAGACCTAGCCGCGCAACACGTCCGGGGACGTGAACTGTCAGTTGGCTGTCCGAGATCCCCACAAAGACTTCCCCAACGAATACCTTCCTTGGCACGGCCACCAAAGGCCCACCCATGCACATCAAAGCCCCCTGCCGGCCTCAAGGCTCTGCAGGGAGACTTTGTCCGCAGCAGCCAGTGTGTGGCCGGCCAGGTTTGAGCTGGTCATGTCCTCGTGCGGGAAAGGATGCGACTGTCGAGGACTGCTGTTTCTGCACGCCTCCGAATGAGACGCAGCCCAAATCGCTGAACAGGCGACCCACACCGCCGACGCCCGCCAGCAAGCTCCCAACCAAAACAGAAAAAGGACTCGAAAGAACCCCAAGCTCTGTCAAGTCCAGCCCTTCGGACATCAATCAAAACCGCGTGACTCTCCCCCCTGGTGCCCGGAAAACTTTCAACGAAACCTGAAGCCTCAAAGCGAGAATCTCTGGAGGTGAGCCTGGCCCAGCATCCCGGGTGACGACGCACACCGCGAGCGCTTCGCAGAGGCGCTTCGCAGCACTCGAAGATGCTCGTACGATGTCCATTTAGGGATTCCCCTTTGGGGTGGGGTTTCTTGGCTCACGAAGCTTAACGTGTGTTGTTGTTTGAGGCTCCAGATTCAGGGCCCCTGAAGCTTGGAGTCGAGGGGTTAGGCTTCGGGCTTGAACAGCAGGGGGCCAAGGGGTGCTCTCAACGTTACGCCTGGGCTCAGGTGGTCCCACATGATGGAATGCATCGTAATATTTCATAACAGTATAATGCCTTTTTACTCTAAGCAATAGGTCCTAACTGGATCTGAGGCTCAAGGGCTCACAGCCGAGGGCTTGACACTTTGGTCTAAACTTGAAGGCTGCGGTTGATCGGCGATGTCATGCTTCTACTTCACTTCTCTGCCAGAACTGAAAACTGCTGCACCTACCTTCAATAAAGGTGCTGTCCTTCAAGCTGAGGATGGTTGATGCTGCGGGTGGGAGATGTAACTAGGGGTTTGGGCATGGTTCGGTCCGGTACTCGAGGTGGAGGCAAAGAAATTCGGAAAGGAACTGCTGAATGACAAACAGACCGACAGCTCTACGTAGTGGGATGCAAGGCAAAAGCTTTCCGTGACAGTTTTCAGCAACCGAATCCTTCGGCAACTTGCCGCAGCTCCGGATTTCCTTCGCATGTGCGTGCCTGTGGCTGTGCATTCTGCATGGCAGCCATAGAACGCATAACAAACGAAAACCGAGTGAAGAGGCATGAGCACTGCTCAATGAATGTCACATCGGCAGTGCAGGCATACGGCCTTAAATCTTCAATCCTCTACCGGACGAAAGGCACGATGCCCAAAGGGTCTCTCCTCAGCGACAGGTCACCGCTCGCCTTCTTCAGCCTAGGCACAAGTTCTGGAGATCGACAGGAAAACCCAAGCCTCATGAAGGCAACATATCTTAGGCCCAGACATCTGTGGGCTGAAGACTCAGGTTGGTTGTAGTCGGCTTCTGAGTTTCGGAACGCTGCTGTGCCTCGTGTACCACCTGCGCCCAGCACCACCACATGTGGAAGCTTCTAGCGGCCACACGCCACATCTACAAATGCTAGGCCTGATCCCAGTCCAATGAAAACACGATACCTGCCGATGGAAGTGGTTCTAGGTGAGCATCAGACTGTCCACTCCCACAGCATACTGCCTCCATAAAGAACAACAAGGAGGCCATATCCTGCAGCGACACCAGTGTACAGGCCGAAGAGGTCCTGGCAACACTCAAAAACAGGTCAAGATGCAAGAACGATTGGATCACATCACAACTGATTAAAACCTGACTGACGACTCTTGCTGCCAAATGACATGCCGTTTTTTTATCCAGGCCTACCTCTATTGTTGAGTGTAGTGGCTCCTGGCTTGTTTAAGGATGCAGTCCTTGCGCCAAAGTGTAGTACAGAGAATGACACCTCAAGCATGAGATGCGGCGTTGTATTGCCACTCCAGGAGGCTTGCGCTGTCTTGCACCTGGAACTTGTCCCAACCTAAGCTGCTTGATGCTGCTTGCTTAGGAGGTGAAGTTCTGAACTGGATGCAGTGAGAAGGGCTATCAAGTCCAGCCGAGGGGCCAAGACCCTGCCAGCCCAGCATAGAACACTGCGTTCACTCGCCCAGCTGCCTAGCAGAAATCGTCAGTTGGCTCAGTGCATTTGGCGTGTGCATGTGCTAGCAGCCCTTCTGGGTGCAGCAGATGTGTCAGCGGGAACAAAGAACGGCACACTAAAGTTAGCGACAAAGCGAATTACAGGGGAGGTTTGATGCACCAAGACCTAACGCTAACGTCTTCTCGGACCCAAACCTGCAAAACAACTACTTGGTAACCTACAACGAGCAACTGGCATTACAGTGAGGGTGCAAACCTGCACCGCTAATTGTTTTCTGCCACTCGCCCCGCTTGCCCCACTTGCTCTGGCCCCTTGGTGGAAAACGCCATTGCCTCACTTGCCCCACTTGCCCAACCCGCCCTGTGTAACCGCTATAAGCGATTTTCTACGGCCCCACTTGCCACGCTTGCCCCGTGTTCAATGGTGAGTACCTGGCCCAGTTGTGGTTGGGGCGGGGTAAGCCTCTTGAAGCCGTGGGCGGGGGGGGGGGGGGGGGGGGGGTCCGTACTTGCCCACTTGCCCCATGGTCTGCCTCAAAGACTTGTGGCCTGTCCCCCTTAAAGACATGACATGCGAGGCAAGCGAGGGAAGTGGGGCAAGCGGGGCAAATGGGGCAAGTTAGGCAAGTGGGGCCCAACAATCAAGTAACTCTTCCGGGCCACCAAGTGGGGCAAGTGAAGCAAGTGGGGAATTCTGGCAGAGCAAGTGGGGCAAGTGGCGCAAGTGGGGCAAGTGGGGCAACATCAACTAAGGTTGCTTCAAGTCGGATGAGGACGAGGGGCCAATGAGTGCCCGTTAGCAGCTGATGCCACTACAACTGTAGCATGCAATCTGTTCTGCGCGCAGTTGGGATTGTTGCAGCACTGGCATGAAGGCTTCAAAAAAATGCTCAGGAAGACGCCATTGGAATCCTCTCCAAGTTGACCTGTGTCATGCACATTCTTCTCCAAAGCAGCTGAACACATGCAGAAGAGGCTCAGACTGAGAGGTTCATCAAGACCTTACGCACTATGCTTGCAAGAGAGCTGAAGAATCATATGGAAGGACTTGGATGACACCGAAAGCTCAGAACCACACGACAAAGGCCGCAAAGGGCCAACGCGTGTACTCAAACAAGTCCAGTACGGCTGGATCGTTGGAAAAAATTCGAGCGAGAGATCGAGGGATGCACCTCGCAGAAGAGAAGCTTCATGTATCCTTCAGAGGCTGCTCAAGAGCTGTCGCAGACACTATTTCTGAGGCTGCTGCACGATGACTAGGCCTGTTATCACCAAGACGGCAAGGGCCATAGAAGTCCTGCCGGACATGGAACCAGTTCGGTCGTTTCCTGTGCACAGCCGCATAGCCCTGAGCCAGTCCCGACGAGCGCCGAGCGCTTGGCGTCCGCGGTGCTGCCCTGCACTTTGGAGAAGAACTCTTGCGACGCCGGAAAGGCCCGTGTGTCGCTGGAAGACAAGAAGCGATCTGGATGCAGTTTGCACCCTCATGACATCTCATGACGACGTGGTCCTAAAGTCCCGCCTTTCCGACCGCGATGCTGAGCTGCGTGGCCACAGCCCCTGCTAAGGCTCCCAGGAATGTGAGGGCCATCCAACCTTTCACTCAAACAATGTGAACACACACTTTGGGCACACTCTCTGCGTTAAGGCTGAAGCAGATTCTGTAGCTGGAGTTAAAAACCTTTGTGCATCTCCATACCAGTGACAAGCAGCAAACTTGCAAGAGCACCGCTCCACTGCAACTTACTTGCTGCATGGACTGCAGACACGAGAGTGTTCCGAGCTGATCGCGGCAAGATCGTCAGGTCCAAGGTTTGAGGCAATCGCACCGATAACGGTCACACCTGAGTAATGTTGGCCAGGTAGATACTTCCGAACAGTCTCTAAACATCATGTGTTCGATGACATGAGGGCGAAACGCCAGAAGTCGGAACCTATTGAAAGCGCCGCAGGCAAGTACATCTTCCTTAGAGGCAGAAATTAACCGTTCATGTTTGCTCGCACATGTGTAACACATTGTCGCATTCTGTTTCGACCGTTTGATCTGCAACGCAGAACACATTGGATCGGACTGTGCGGAGAATCTTGATGTTGTATTGGGTCGAGCCAAGGAGACGTTAATCGAAAAGGCAAGACAGGGGTCGCATGTTGTCAGCCGAGGTTGAGATTTCGGCCCAGCAGTCGGCCTGCGTATGGGGTGGTGGCTTGCAACCGGGTACCCGGGTAAGCCATTCTTTGGCGGCTACACCTGAGAGTTTCGTGAAGCGCGATGGCAGTTGCAAGCGGTGGCAGGGAGAGTGGGGTTGTGCCTGGTGGGAAGCCTTGCACCGTCTCCGACGATGCTCCGGTCGGTGCCTTGCTCTCCAGCCCCCTCAACGCGCAGGGCCGGACGTCGTGGATTGCAATGGTAGGGCTCGAAGAGTCCTGCTCAAGCCTCGCAGTTTGTCCTGGTCTTGTTATCTCGCCGAAGTCCCTCAGTTTCGGAGGGTTTTGAGGAAGGAAGTCAGTGAGACAACCCGGAAAATCACAAAACAATTTCAGCAAACAACAGAGACGACAACAAACATGTGACATCAAAATCAAACAAGAACGGCAAAACAATAGATGAATACAAAGGTGAGCCGACGGTAAAGGCAAACGCATCAAACATCGGACGGTCCAACATGCCCGAATACCTCAAAAGCCTAAAGCCTTCACCCTTAGACCTTAAACCCCTGAATGCCCTAAACTCCTAAACCTTCCGAAGCCCTTAGCAAAAAAAAACTATACCCAAGCTCTTGAACCCCAACCCTGAAACGCTAACCCTAAATAAAACACTGTGTAGCACATGGAAACGTTGTACTCCTCCGCTGTCTGAATTCGTCGGCCGGTGCTTTCTGAATCTGAAAGTGTGGTCCTTGTTCTCCGGATGTATCTTTCCGATTCCGACCAGTGCTTCTGAGTCCCTCTTTGCCCAGGTTTGTATTGCAAAGCCGGGGAATGGAAGCGGAAGGGAAAAGCAATCAGCAACAAGGAAAGTCAGAGGAAGCAGGTGTGGAAAGAGCGGCAAGACATTGGCCGCAAGCATCCTGGCGCCGAGAGGCACCGCTGTACTGTGAGTCTGCACACGGAAGATTTCAAAGAAGCCGCCGGTTTGTGGAGACTAAGGGGGGTCATGCGTTTAGCAGCGGTTTCGGGTCGGACCTCGCGGTGTGGATGCGGCAAAGGGGTCAGCCAGCAAGCTGCTCAGAGCAAGTGAAAGCCGCGAGCTTGCAAAAACGAATGCTTGATGTTGTGAAGGGGTTGGATGCGATTTGACGGATATGTATATCAGGCCCATACTCAGCGAAACCGACTAAGCTCCAAAGATCTGCGCCAATGACCTGCCTTGCATGCTTGGAGTTGCTGAACACACGCCATTTCCACTTGGTGAGCGACACATATTGCACCACTCGGTCTCTGGTTATGTGCTCCTGCACCGCATGTCTCCACTGCACACTGCTACAACTCCTGAAGCATCCTGACACACTGCTCAGAAACAAGAGCGGCTCCATGGACCAGCCAGGCCAACACTCTCTGTGCAGCTGCTGCCAATAACAGTACACGTACCTCTCGTCTAAGCGAGGCCAAAGAGAGATACACATCGATACACATCGACACACTTAGACATCTTTGTGATCTGGCAGACGAAGGCGAAGGGGCACCATAAGATGAAGAGCTGAACGAATTCTACAGAGGTGGTGACCTTAATACCGGTGTTCCGAGCTTCTGCTTCAGCTTTCAAAACGGCCAATGAGCTGCAGAGCTGTTGTCTGAGCTGCAAGCCCAAGGACAGGCTGGAAAGCCTAAACCGCTCCAGTTCGGAAATCCAAGACCTGCACATGTTGGTCAGTCGTCCTATGGCAGAAACGCCCAAGGACTGACATGTACTAAGGCTGCAGTCAAGACACCAAGCACCAGCAGCAAGTTCCCCACCAGATTTAGGGCCATGCCAGTCACGGAACAGACGACCTGCAAGTATGCGTTCGGCTGAGGGTGCCAGCACGCCTGTCATGGAAACTGCTGAGTGTCAGACTGCCGGTCGCATAATCTTCTGCGAGCTGAAGAAACAGTTCAGCTGCGAAAATCCTCAATGACAGCTCCATGGCGCACCACGATGTACTAGCATACCTCCTCCATCCATGAAACTCTTGCCAAGATGCCAATGCGGACCGGCAGGCACAAAGCAAGCACCAGCGCGTAGTAGCTTGCATCAGACACCTCCTTGACAGAAACTTAGGAAGCTGAGGAGCGAGTGAGGAGTGTGGAAGAGGAAGCAAGATCGCAACGCGCGACAATGGGCTTAAGTCTGCTCTGCTGGCTGTCCTGCGGTGTCTTGTGGATGGCACTCAAGACCGGGCCGGTCAATATCCAGCAGACTGCCACCGGCCTTGAAAGCACCGCAACGGATCTTGCATGAGCACATGCTCATAGAAAGCGTTTTGGTAGTCTCTGCTCGGTATTACCACCTCCTCTTCCTCCAGTGCATGTCTCTGCTGGGGCTAATTAAGAACCTTCCCACCCATGAACGCAGAGTTCGGGTGACCCGGACCCCCCAGGGATCTGCGAGCACCTGAGAGGTCTGCAGGCGGCAAGTCGGCAGTCGGAGGCCTTATCTTTGAAGTGCGTGGGGCGCCCTTAACCTCCAGGCCTCTGGCAGAAGCAGGCCGCGCAGCGATAGTTTGGTGTATGTTTACAGCGTGATTCCACAAGTCGCGCGGCCAGCAGGTCTGCATGCAGCAGCATGAGACTCGGAGGCATTCAGCGTCGACACTCCACACAACGAGCGTGGCAAATGACTTCTTGCCTTGAATTGTGACCGGAACCCTCAGTGACTCTCTTCTTCAGGGCTTGAAGGAGGGGTTTCCAACCCCCCCCCCCTCCTCCCAGCACCCCCCGCGAAACGCGCACACGGCTCGCTCTCTGGCGCCCAGCATAGTTTTCTAAGGTGGGAGTCTTGGATGGCTTACTTGCAAGGCTGACTGTAGTAGTGTACACACCCCCCAGGTCCGTGCAGATTGAAGTTTCCGTCAAGACACACCATAACGCAGAGCAGCACCACGTACGAAACCTGCGCAGCGACAAGGCAGCAACCCTGATGCAATCTGTACCCATGCAACGACAGCCTGAAGCCAGATTCCGACCAGCCTGGGATGCTCATCTCAGGCGCGCTTACTCCAACGTTTGCAAGGCATCGCAAGGCTACATGTGAAGTACGGTTAATTAGCCATCGCACTGTTAGCCACCATGGTGCACTGCCCTTCGTGCCAGGGCACATCTTGTTCCCAGCACCGAATGCTTGGCCACAAAAAGTTGAAACCTGTCAAGGGTACAGACATGAGCTGCGAAGCCGCCGCAAATACTAGTGCTTTGGGCATGTTCACAAAGGCATGAACACTTTTGACAGTGCGTCTTGTTCCAGAAAGTTATACAGAACCCTAACCACACTCACCTATATGACAGTATGACAGTAGTATAAACCTTGTTTCATATGAAAGCATGCTAGTATATCCCCCCCCCCCCGTTCTCTTCCCTCCCCCTCCCATTAAGAAACCAGGTCTTTGTGGGAAGTCCATCTACATCAGCTCTTCTGGTTCATGAAGCTACAATGCAGACGTATCTGGGAGGCGCACGATCCTCGACTGAATGAATACTCCACTTGAGGACGTCCTGGGATCAAGATGACACCATTCAGCCATGTCGCAAGAAACCAACGAAGCAAGCATCAGGCGGATCTCGACCCGTGACGTGCGCTGGATGTGTGATGAGGCTCCAAAGGTCGCTCAGCGCGGTGGCATCCAAGTACCGAGTTCCAGTGCCGACGTGGCCAAGCACGGCCGTGTCTGTGACCTCTGGCATCTGGCAACTTCTGGCAACTTCTGGCATCATGCGGCATCATGTCTGTTCGCAGAGCAACGTCTGCAGGGAGATGCATGGAGTGTCTCGGCCTTCATGGCCACCCAGGACACCTCAGCAGAACGGCATGGCTTCTTACGGAGTTTTCCGGTAATCCCATGTTACCCCCTGCCGAGCAATCAAGTGGCCATGGAAAGAAAAATCGGTATGGTCAGCTTGCTGATCGCGACAATTTCTTTGATGACCTGGGATGTCTACAAACGACGCTCAAGCTTTGCTGCCCCCCAACGGTCTCTCCATGCCTTGTCAACTTCTCATCTGAGCTAGGTGCTGCATTGTCTTCCCGCTGTCCTTCTAGCAAGACTTCGCGTCCAGCAGGTGCGACAGCCATCTTTACCAAGACAAAGTTGTGAGGGGCGGCGATTCAAACCCTAAGGATCGTGGGAGGCCAAAGCACTTCTCCCCGCAAGTAATCTACCAGTGGCCGGGTTAACGACTCAGATTTGGGTCACTCGGCAATTATTGCTAGAGGAGGAAACGGATCCGTACATTGCTGTGTTTGTCGGTGTACTAGCTACGGCTCTCGGGACCCAAGAAGCTCCGCATTTCCTTGCACATACCTTTTGTGTGCTAGCATCTTGCCACAGCACATGTGCAGCTCTGGCTTCATCATGCAACATTGCATTGGCGTTGGTTCGGGTTAAGTTCGTGATGCAAACCTAGCATCATGTGTCTTTGGCCACCTCGCCGCAGCCTCACTGGGAAGTGCGCATAATGTACACGTTGGCGCTTTGCGCGAAACGGCAGCGACTGAATGTATCCAGCACATGTCATTTAGGACATCTGGCCAGAACCACTGCCGGTTAAACTGCATTACCACAGGCCGCGGGGGTCATTGAACGATCCCGCGGCCAAGCTTGTTCATTAACTGTGATCGGACACGTAAAGGCGCGGACTGGCTTTAGACTTCGGGGGCTTAAAGCGGCGTACGTTTAAGACGGGGTGATTCCTGGCTAAGTCCGGCTATCGCGTGTCAGCTTTTTGCTCCGATGACGGCGTGCCGTCTTCCCGTAGGCGCCGCACTCGCTCAGGAACCAAGGCCTGTAGGGAGGCTACGTTTCGATATTGGATGCAGCAGCTGAGGCAACACATTTTTCACCCCTACTCTGCAAATGCGCGTCGGAACCTCCAGTGCCTGGCACTGTCCCAGCAGCCTGCCATATCGCATGCCTTACGTTTCAGCTCAGGCGAATCCCAGAGCTCACGCCCACTATCACCCGCTATCTCCCACTTCCCTCGGCTGCCGACCCAGGCGATGCAGAGAGGAGGCCATGAGGGCCATTTCGTGGGAGTGCGCGGCCTAGAGTCCAAGACAATTCAACTCAAGTCGTCGGAACATGCCGAAACAGCTCGAATCGCCGCATGGGACACCTCAGCCTCGCTGGCTGCAGCCTCTCGATGCTCCAACCTTTCGAAAAAAACTCTGTGAGTCTGTGACTGCTACCATCTGCTGCCCATTTGCTGCTCCATAGCAACTCCTCATCCTCAAGGTCCCGACTCCTGCTCGCGGATCTGGATCTGTTCCTCCAGCAGCTCCACCTAGGCCATGATTCCATGCTGGCCGGCTTAAGAAACGCTGCACTCCGAAGCACATTACGACGAATGGTCGTGATCCCCCAAGGTCTTGCGAGGGCTCACCCTCCACCACCGGATGGTAACCGATAGGTGCTGAGTTTGCCACGCTCGGCCCCTGCCCCGTGACGGAGGCTCGTGAGGACCTCACCGCCGTCTTGGGAGCGCCAAACTGATCTCCAGCTTCTCCAGTTTGAACTCACTGCAGCTTGTGACGTATGTGTGACGCAGAAACTCTGTAGCATACCTGGGTGCAGAATCGCCAGCGAGATGTCGCGACTTCTTGAAAGCCTCACCGGACTCTCCCCGGCTGATTGCACTAAGCTTCACGAAGCTTTCTCAGCGGTGAGTTTCTTTCAAGATCCAAGATCGCTTAGCTGCGCAGCCTTTTTGCGCAAGGAATCGCAAGCTACAGTCTCGCAAGCTTTGGGCCGTGTGGCTTCTGCTCTCCTGGCATCATGTGGCGGTCACGGCCAGCCACCCGACATTAACAGCCCTGATGCTTCGTCTCGACAGCTTCAAGGTGAGGCACGCGACAGCAGGGTCGCTCTTTAGCAGAGAACCGAGGCTGAAAGGCTATGCAAGGCTATGCAAGGCTTCACGATGCTTCACGTGTCAGCGACCCTGCTGTCACAGCGGACATTATCGGACCTTAAGCACCTCGGGCACCTGGGTACTGTACAGACGGTGTCCGTGGCCTCTAGGGTCTACGAGTACAGATGTCTACACCTGAACTGCAAGGCCTGGACAGCATGCGATGGCAGCCTGCATGTTCTTGCCCTAATGCATGGCATTGCGTGGCCCTCATCTCTCCCGTTTGTCCGGAGATCTGCGGCGAGATGCTGAGGATATCCTGGAAGCCTCGGACGCGATGCTGTCCCGGCTGCATTGCCGAGCGATGGTTCGGGCAAAGTCAACCAGTTCTGCATGTCCGTCCGTGATCGGGTTCTCGAGCATGTCCCTCAGTGTTTCCGCTGAAGGTCGTTGCACCTCACGCCTCAAGTCCAGGCTCACCACGGATCCAGAAGGTGATGGTGGGCGATCCAATGACATCACTGCTTGAAGGACCTGAAGTTTCGAAGCTTCGCCAGCTTCAGACAAAGCTGTGTGTGCACTGCGAGCACTACGTGCACTGCGCGCACTATGTGCACCATCTGTTGGATTGTGATTCGTCACTGGCCCTTTCTGAGAGCGAGCACTTGCTATGTCGACAGCTTCAGAAACCCCCTGCTCGAAAGCAGATGGTGTGAGCATCTCGTCGGTCTTGGTGGGGTCACTCACTTCACCCTCCTCGGCATCTGCGCCCTCCTTTGCTGCGCGTGAAGCACGGGCAAGTTTTGCGGCCAGGACCAGCAATCTGCAAGCGATCTGAATGCACCAAAGTCTTGCAAGAAGTGACCACGCTGCAGAGACGGCCAGCAGCCTGCAGACGACGAATGCCGCACCCAAAACGACGTCTTCCATGGGCACTGTTTGGTCAGAGCATGCTAAGGCACATTGAACATGGAGATCCCAGCGCGTGTCTGGAACCTGTCTCCATGAACTGGACTGACAAAGCTCTTCGAGGTTCCAGTGGCACCTCTCCACGGCTCGCTGAAAGCCCGGCGCATCAATCCTGAGTGTGCTCAGAAGGCGCACAGCCCCAAACAGCGCAGCCGAGCAGGCGAGAGCATGCCCAAGCATGCAGAGAAGAAAGAACCGCGCCCAAGCCTGGCGCTTCACGCGGCAGCAGCAAATTCGGCTCCGCACTGGCAGGCCCTGGGACGCTGGGGCCCCCAGCAACTGAAGGGTTGCCAAAGCCGAGGGGACAAACGTCAGGATTGGAACCAAAAGCAGCACCGCAACTGGATCCAGGATCTGGAAGATGAGGCTCTGCAGCAAGTCCCAGTCAGCCACATCCATGCCCATCCACACAGTCAAAGCAATGGCCACGGCATAGGCAGCCATTTCGGCGGTTTGCATCAGCAGAGCCAATCTGCACACGCTTCGAGCCGTGCTGATGAAGCTCCAGGGTCTTTTTTGCCCGCAGAAAAGGTCCCATAACACGAAGCACAAGATCAGCAAGAGCATCCAGGAACTTGCCGGAATGGCAATTGCGAGGGCGATGGCAGTTTCGCCCAGATGCCGAATCGTCTGAAGCGATGCCAGGTTCCTGGAGCCAGGGCTGGGCAAGCAAAAGCGATGCAGAAACAAAAAGCCAGTGTATTCATCAAACATGCCCCCAGGCTCGTCCGTGCTACTCGCACACTCTCGCACCGGCATCCGTCGTGTCCTGTCTGGGTGAACTGCCGGCACAGTTTCCAAGGTCCACCCAGGCACGAGGTGGCTGTTGATGATGTAGGGCGCCTCAAGAACCACGGAAAGAGCGCTACTTACTGACAACGCGTGCGGAGTGGGACAAAGCGCTGGCAGTGATGGATGAGATATGATGAGATCAGGCCTTGGGCAGTGCCACTTGCAAACTTGGCAGCCAATCCTTGGTTTGCGGAGTTGGGCGAAGCATGCGAAGCTGGGAGGAGCGCCTTGGCTCTGCATTTTTGCCTCCGTTACGTCCCAGATGCTTCGAAGAACTCTGGGTCTGCCCGAATGTTAAACAGTAGTGGGACTGTTTGCACATTCTGCAGTCCTGACAGGACTCGCGAGCTTCGACGAAGTGGACTCACCGAAGTGACGTCACGGCTGAAGCGACCGCGGGAGCTCTGTGCCAGTCCTTGAGATAACCAAGCTGCTTCTGGAGGAAGCCCGCTTGGAGACCGCCATGCAGTGCTAGGAACCTGTCGAACAAAAAGAGGCAACGAAGGTCTCCTGACAAGCTAAGCGACTTCACTGTATGTCGAAAAAACCTACCTGACCATTCGAGACAAGCCGCTTGAAGTCCAGACTGCCCACCGAAAGCCTGGAACATTGAAAGCAGATCTCGTTGAAGCAGTTCAGCCTCTGTGCCGCGAGCGGGGACTGCTTCCTGGGTTGGAGCTAGTGGCGTCAGCTCATCAGCAATCAGCCCAGGGAACTTGAACTGACATTTGAATTTGGAACCGAATGCCAGGTCAGCTTCGAGAAAAAGCTCTAGCACTTGCTGTTCGCCCGCTCCTTCGCCTGAGTGCCAGTCAGCAGAACAATTTGACGAAATCTCGTCAAAATCCAGCACGGCTCACCGTCTCGCACCATCCCTGATATAACAAGCTCCAAGCGAAAGTCAGTGGCTATTCCAGCCAGGCGAAGTCGGTCACCTGCTCGTGACAACCTGCCATTGCACCTTAGCAAAGCTTCCCTTTGTCTGGATGCACGACTGCATTACTCAACTCTCTTCACCAATTAATTACACACTCTCTTCACCTCAAGGTGGCTGTAGTACTACTGTAGTGCACGTACCACTTCGGTTTTTAGCTTGCGCGGCACCCTGTCCACAAACGACCTCGAAACGTGCTGCGCTAGTCCAGGGGAAGAATCCGGCAATCTTTGTGGTTCAACCAGCGTGCGCGGCACGAACGAAGTAAGAAAGAACAGGCGAAAAGGGACTTGCCACGCGACGCGACGCCCAGAACTTGCAAACTACACGCCCCTTGATGCCAGGGAGAACAGTCCGGAGCCCAGAACTCCCAGAACTTTCTGCGAGAAATCGCTTGCAAACGCAAACGCACACCAACCCACGTGGAGGAACAGCTACGCAGGGCTCATGCAAACCTACGCTGTTGAGGACGGACCAGGGGTCATGGGACATTCTATATAAACTCCTGTATATTTATATAATATGTCCAAGCGCACACGTATATACCTCATGGCTTTGCAGTCCGAAGAACTCTGCCCAGGACTGATTCGGCAGTAGAACCGGAAGCTCCAGTGGCAGAGTTGGAGGACACAATGCTGCCTGCTCCAGCTTGGCACAGTGACGCCTAGAAGCACTCTGCACACTCGCACAAGCCACAGCCATGATGGCTATGGCAAATGGGCACTCCTGCAAGCTGAACAGCAGCAACGGCCACAGGTTCTTTGTGACCAGCGTCGCCAAGTTTACGCGCTCACAAGGCGCGAGCAGAGCACCAGCTTGAGTCCTGCGGCACTGATGTCACTCCAGCCTTCCCTTTCCCCCGACCTCTTTTCCCAGGGGCACCTTCCAGAGCAGATGTCGACCTTGTAAACCGATGCAGGGATCCAGGACCTCAAGGCAGACTCAACTGCACTGGCAGCTAGCAGGGCACTGAAAAGCATGTCACACGCAACAGATCACAGCAGCATCTAGGAGCCAATTGAGCCGACGACATGCGGAGTCGAAAGAGCACCACCCGAGCGGTGTTCTTAAGCTGCAGCCAGGTTCCTCCCAGAGGCAGCACAGACAGAAAGCGGCAGAAACGCACGTGCACGTAAGCGGATCCTGCAAAGGCACTGGTCGCCCTGCCTCCCGGGGACTCGGGCGAAGTGTCACCCAAGCACAGAGGCAGCACATCTGCCCAGTAACCATTAACACCTTGCGCCCCAGAAAGCATACTCCAACAAGGGCAGCGAACTGAATCAATCTTCAACGGGCTTAGGCTGCAGCAGGCGAAGGAACCGTTTGCGTGGATCTCTTCGCCTGCAAAAAGGCCCAGCTGCCAAAAGTGCTACCACACAATGAGTCTTAGCCCCACAAAAGCTGCAAGGTACCATGCAGATGCCGTAACTTAACAACTTGCCTTCTGAGCAGCGCCATTTTGGCACGCTGCACAAGCTGCTGCTGCTTGTTCCACGGCAGGCCTGCGCCAGTTTTGAGATGAAACATGTGCACAAAGCACTCTTTCGACGTTGGCTGCCTCCATCTCGCCCCCAAAGTCGCCACAGTCCCAACGATGACAACCAAAGTGCCTGTCTCTTCCAGCACATCTTCGGCTGGCTACAGGACAGAGCCAACTGCCACTGTTCTTCTGTTCTTTAGCAGCAGCCTCCATAGCTGTGGCGGCTGCTCCAAGCAGGGTGCGCTCTGGCCAAGCGCCGCGACCGGCACCTTGATTGGGGAAAAGGCGCTTCATTCGCAAAATCAAAATCAGACGAAAAGCACACGAAACGGTATGGCGGCATGGCAAAGAAGCCCCTCTGGGCCCCTCTAGCAAAGCGAAATGTGGTGCAGCCGAAGCTGCGCTGAAGAACAGCGTCGCAAGCATCATCCATGGCTGGGCAAACGTAACGTGCTACTGCAGCATGAATGTGTGGGCTCCAGTTTCAAGACTCTACGAAGGACTGCAGCATCGAGGATTCCAAAGTTGTCTTGCATAAGGCTCAAGCCAAATTTCAGCTTCGCTGAACAGATACGCAGACAGCGTCGACTATGCATAGGGATGACAGCCAACAGCCCTCGTAGACTCACAGACGGAATTAGACATCCTGAAACACCAATCCAGGCTGCAGGATTCGATGTTGTGAGTGTGCCACTGCTGCCTGCGCCGTGTGCGTGTACGTGTGCGCGTGCACAGCTGGACATGTAGATAAACAGTCATGACAGTTTGCAGAAGGGCCCAGCGAGGGCCCTGTCTTGCCGGGGAATGCATTTCTGCACAGAGCTGCTTCTGGATCGCGCGTGCGTACGCGCGCGTGCGAATACGACCGCACGCATGAGCGCGGACGACTCTGGACAACCCGTCCTGCGACTGAAGTCCAAACAAAGCAACAAAAAAAAAAACAATTGCTGCAACGACATCCGCTCCAAACAGCCAACCCAGCCAACCTTGGTGTTGACCTTCTCGACGGCTCTGGCTGCCTGCAAACCCTGAAAGAAGTCCAAAACGGCTCAGCGCAATTCATGTGTCTATGGCATTTTGGTTTATCTTGGTAGTATTTTCATAATTTTACGTACATCTCACCCAAAATGCTCGGCCTGAGAAGTATCTCAGGAGCTGGTCGCGTCTGTTCCCGGTTATTTTACAACTCGGCAGGCTACGGAGTGCTGCCACCCTTTTCCTGCAGCACTGGCCGCATGAAGATTTATTCCGCTTAGATTCGTTAGATTCGTCACTTGGCGGCCCCCCCCTCCTCCCGGGCCCAAGAGCTGCGTGGGAATCTCTCGCTGGGGGGCGAAACTGCACTGCTGCTGTCGACGCTGCACAGAGGCCTGCAAAGCATCCACACCCGGTGCTGCACCTGTGTCCTGGCAAAGAGAAGGCTGCCAAAAAAAAATTAGAGAAAGTGTAGATGCTGTTGATGCAAGGCACAAGCAAAACATGACAACGCCATGCAACGCGGCTTCCAGAGCGAAAGCTTTCGCAGCTTCCTGGCCTTGGCGCTCCGAGCGGACGACTCCCTCATGCGCTGCACGCGCGAGCGAGCGAGGACCCCACCTTGATGGAGAGCGGAGCACAATGACATCAAGACATTGGCGAAACATGCTCTTGAGAACACTTTGAGCACTGAAGAACCCAAGGACACAAAACAAAACAAATGAGCGCGAGTCGTTCCAGGGCTTGCAATTTGATGACCGCAGCCTCGCGCTCCTCTGCCAGTCTTCGGCCAAAGGCACAAGGAAAACGAAACCGAAGTTCATTAGCTGTTCGTTAAGTAAGAATGGGCTCTCCCTTCATTCCCTCTGTGTTGGATGAGTCCGGAACATGGTCTGCTTTGCAGATTGGACAATCGCTTGCCAAAAAAACTGTCTTCCACTAGCATGCCATTGCCCATTGCCAGCTTGGCGTCCAAACCGCTGGACTGCGGCAAGGGGCGAGTGGCAGAAGATGCTAACAACTCTTCTGGAGGTAAACTGTCGTGCCTATTGTTCGGTACGGGGCTTTGAAGGTAGCACACAAGGACGCGTGATGCTGATGATCAGGAGGCCCAACCGATCCGCGCGAACGAACGACCGGTATCATCCCAATCTCGTGCAAGCGTAGGTGTCCTCTCGGCGTGCAGGTGGCAAAGGCTGACGCGGCCGCTGATAGCTGGGATCCTTCGGACGCGGACCATGATGCCGAGTGCAGTCTCATCCAACAGGCGCTGCAGGAGCCGAAGCCTGTGTCTCTGCCTCGGCAGACCGAGACTGCCGCAGGGATGCCAGTCTTGACCTTGCCATGATTCCACCTCAGAGCCACGACAAACACGACAAACACGAAGAACTCCTGTGACTTCAAGCCGCTGCAAGACCCTCTGAGGTAGGCACGCTGTCTCGCCTGCAATCTGGTGGCTGCAACATCTTTGGCCTTGTCCCCGCAACGCAATAACCCTCGCGAAACCGCAAATCCAGCAACTTAGCCAAGAAAAAACCGGATGCAACGGTGGAAAGCTTCGAGGCGCGAACAGCCCTATTGCCCGTCCCACCCGCGGAGCCCGTTGCAGCGGCCCGGGATCGCTTCACCTTCTTGCGTAGTGAGGGCTTGCGGATGCTTGCCCACTGCTTAGGCTCGAAGAGGCTGCAAAGGGAGTGTAAAGGTTCCGGCCATGGCAGAGAAGTCCGCCTTTGCATCTGGTGCATCTGGCTCTGGACAGTTCTCCTGCTGCGCATTCCCAACGGACTGCCTTCTTGCAAAAACACAAAGCCACTGCTCATACCAAGACATGCTTACTTGCAAAGCTAAACAGCTGTACAAGACATATCTGAACCCGAACATCCCGGCAACAAATCTGGATGTGCTTGCCTCTCGTTCCCCAAGGTAGTGCTAACACATCGTCAAGTCCCACCAATCTGTACTGTGTCTGAAATCAAGACGCAAGTCTTCGCCTCTATGTAGCTTGCTTGCTGCTGTTCTGCCAGACAACTCCACCGCCCCGTCTCAGAAATCGTAAGTCAACCCGTTGGCATCTGATCGATAACTCGGACAACGACTTTGTACGAAGCTGTCAGTTCCAAGGTGTCCCCGGCGGCCGAGGCGGCCGAGGCGGAGCCAGAACAAATGTTGACAAGTTAGGCACACTGTTTGCACATGTTAGCACTGTTTCACGTATCCAACACTCTGGCACAGAATTTTCGAGGCTCCCACCTCTGCAGCGCTGCTGTTTCTCGCGACTGGCACTGTCCCCTGCACATGTCAGAACAGGGACCTCTATATATACGGTCAAGATGACCAGAAGCTGCCTCCTTGGACTGTGAGCTCGTCGATCTCACTGGAGCTGCGGAAACAGAATCGGCAGTCTGCATCTGCAGCGTCTCCGCTTCGGATTCCTGGCTCGGGAGCTTCTTCATACTTCTTCGGAGAGAGCGGTTGAGATGGTTGAGTAGTAGCTAGCTATTATGTTTTGACGGCTTGGAAAACCCTGGATGCTCCAAGCAGACGACCGCATATGCATGGCAGAGCCGCCAGTTCCAGCACCGCAGCGGCTTCTTCTTGAGCTTCTGCTGCCAGACCCGTCTGAGCACGAGAAGCGGGGATTTCACAGCCATGCGACTGGAAACTGCAGCTTCGCACTTCCACTCAGAACTCTGAACTCTCTCGCAGTGTTGGGAATCTTGCAGAGGCAACGGGGGAGTTCCGTGGGAGTTCCGTGGAAGAAAGCAATCCCAGCTTCAAGCAGACATGCAGTTGAAGCTTACTGAAGACGCTACTTGTAAAACGAAGGTACCGAGGCGGCGTACAGCACGCAAGCTCAGCGCCTCCTCCGCAACAGCAGCTTCAGCTTTGGATGCTGCGGCACGCAGCTCTTCCTGCACTGATTTGAGGTTTTGTGGAGGACCTGTGCTGTGTTCCAGGTGTACTGAGGCACGTGATGCTACAATATGCAATACTGCGAGATCCACAGAGGCAGCTCAAGAACGACGAGCACTTAATGGCTTGTTAATGAGATGAAGTGCATGATACATGCCCCGACCAAGGTCGAAAGAATTACAAAGCCTTGCACGCTCTCTGGCTAATGCTGCCTGCAGAAGCTCACATTCGGTCTCGCACAGGGCCGCTCGCCTAGGCCGGCACGGCTACTGCGATGGGTGCGTGATGGGTACCGGAGATGAATCAACCGCAACTTGGCACCCTGTCATTCTCAAACGATCGCACGCAGGCGAAAACGACGGTCATACTCCCAAGTGCTTCGCGCTCTCCTGGAGTCGACGACCTCCTTCAATGTGATGCTCTGTGACATGTTCATTCAATGATCCATTGATCCAAAATGCACTCTGAACGCGTTCACCTTTTGAGGAATCCATGCGGTCCTGTTCAGAGCGCAGCTCTGCCTGTACACGCTGCATCTCTTCGTGCGCGAGCCTTGCTCTGCATATATGTGCTTGGGTGCCCATCGACTCATCCTAACACCGAACAGCAAGAGTGGATCCAGAAAAAACTTGCTGAGCACAGGACGAGACGTGGCCTGTAGCTGGCAAGGATATCAAAAAACTCTCTCGGTAGCTAGGTCGCGTCAAGTTGGGAAGTCACGGGCCATTCGGAGCTTCAACCATCCACATGTACTCAGTGTATTCACATTTCTTTTGAAGATTGCCCTAGGACGACGGCCATTTTCCGAAGAAGCACATCTGGCAACTGCCTCGACTCATAAGATGGTTGCACAGCTGTGATTCTAGACAGCTTCTAGTTCTTGGGCAGCATGGCTCATGCTCGTACAACGCAGTGCCCTGCCGAGACAAGTCGCCTCCAAGTGAGGGTCGTGACTGGCAGCGACCTTGACTGACCCTCATGGCCAATTTGTGAAGTTCTGCATGATTCGGAGCGGAGTTGAAGGTACATCGGCTTCCCATTGTCTGCTGCACTGCGTTGCCACTGAACCCCCTGAATCTCTAACAGGAGCTTGCCTTCTCCGTCTCCGCTTCCTGCTTGCGCCTCGGCCCGCACAAGATGACTCGCACGCAGGCGTGCTGCGATCATCGGGCTTAGCATGGCTTAGCGCAGCGCACATGTAAAGACTTCTGTTTTGAAGGGTAGTTTAAGGCTTTAGTGGGCTTTAGCTCCTTTCGGTTCGCGGCACATGGACATTCATTGACACAGAGCGCTTCCGCCATCGTATGATGCCGCATTGCAAAAGCACAACACTCACAACACACGTCCCCGTAACACATGGTAACACATGAACGAACCTGTCTTCAAGCACACCAACCAAAAAACATTCAAGATGGGGGTGGAAGGCGCGGTTGAGCTCGCGGCAACTGCTGGAGAACCATCCAGGCTTTGGCTTTCACAGACTTCGCCTCCTGCACTCTCCGGCCTGGAGAAGGGATCTTTCTTTGAGGGGAGAAGGGATCTCTCTCTTTCTCTCTGAGATGGCTTTGCAATATGTCTCAGCATGCACATCCATCCTGCATAATTGATGCAATTACCCACTTTGCAAAAGCATCCTTGCCTAGGTCCGAAGACTGAAACTCAGCTTCAGCACCCTCTGCCTGCAAGATTCGAGACTCTCCACACTGATTGCGCACGCGACATCACGCGGCGCACATGCGGCACACAGTCGGTGAGCCTTTGCAACTGCAAGCTCGTCACTGAGAGCTTGAAGACGGTCTGCATCTGCAGCTAGCGAAGTTGCGGCAGCACCTTGCTCATGCTTTGGAATGTGGCATCAGAACTGTGGGTCTGCAGAGTTTGCACTGTGCACCTGTAAGGGAAAGCGAAGCACGCGGTTGGCGAGTCGCAAGATCTGTCCCCACGTGAAGGTGCTGATGAGAGACAATCGCTCTGATTCAGCTCGGACAAGGAGGCCTGCTAGGCCTTGCGCAGCTGCTGTTGCTTCATCGCCTGAAGTTGCTCTTCCACGACATCTGTGATACATGAATGACATGTAGAATGACATGCATCGCAGTCTCAGCTCATCGCTGAGAGCATTCAGCTTCTGCATGGCGGTCCTTGATCTTCATAGGGAATTGTCGGGCATGTCTCGGGTATGGCACAGCAATTGCTGAGGATTCTATATATATGCTATGCTGGCCAGGGCACGAGACAGCCACGCCAGCAGCCACAGCTTCGTCCACAGTCCGCTCTGCAGCGAGGCGGCGGTCCTCCGAGGCTCGCCAACACGATTGAACTTCCATGGCCGTCCGCTCTCTGTGTCCTCGAGCATCGCACTAACCTCCGGCATCTGCTGCCCGATGGCCGAGCGTTGGGCCACTGCATCAGCCTTGGGGGCTGGAGAGGGCTGGAGAGAGCTCTGGGGGGGGGGGGGAAGGCTGCTTGCGTTCTCTTGTTTTGAAATGTTCGGTGTTGTTGTGCTTTGTGTGGCTGACAACTTGTCGAGGCGTCGAAAGCTCCAAAGGTTGCAAGTTACAGCATTCCAAGGTGTATCACGTTTCCTGTCTAGAGTTCCTTTCCCTCTGGATGCTTGATCTTTCCACCCCAATTTTGGCGAAAGGGCCGACAGCTTGCTCTCCCGGCATTGGAGTTGGGATGCGCTGGGTGCTGTCGCCGACAGGCCTTGTGGACCTTTGGCAGCTGTTTGCGGTCTTCGTCTCTGTTCTATCCACCTTTCCTCGTATGAGGGTCGAAATTCGTGCCGGCGAAGACCCTAAACAGGATGAACACGATCCAAACCCACGGCCCCCCAGCCTCCCGAGCCGCTTCCACCCGTTCAAACCCACGTCGACGTCAACCCTCGGAGGCCCCCCGTGCCGCCAGGTCCCGAAGCTCCACCCAGGCGCGCTCCAGGAAAGGATCCCAACCAGGCCTGTTTGGGGAGAACGTTGGGTCTCCATGTCGAGCTCCGTTTGCCTGTTGCACTGCTGCATCCTGGATGGGATGCGCTGATTTTTAATTTGTCCGACCTCCCACAAGCTGCACATTGGGTTGTGTACAGCATCGTGAGCTTTCGAATAGCTGCACATGTGGTATGTCTCCAACTACTCACAAATCGGAAGGCGAGCAACCAACAAATGCAAATTGTGTGCATACATGCATACACACATACCATACATGTCCCACGAAACGCACCTCCCACCTCCCACTGCATTTCTCTCTGAGCGGAGCACGCTGCCTTGCTCGGCACGCGCCAAGGACTGGCGCTTTCGCTCGATCCTTACCCGAATTCAATTCTGTTTTCAGCACATCCGTGGAATGCAGCTGTTGGGCATCGAGCTCTAGTCGCAGACTGTCTAGATCTTCGGAGGTCATTGCCTGCATGCGAGGAAGATGCGAGACATGCATACCCCACAGACCGCCCACGCACTGCCTCTGCAGGAAGGGAGAACTCAAGATGAGATGCATTTGGACATCGAATGTGATGCTCGTTTCAGTATGTTAAAGTGCGAACAGTCACACGCATCAACGTGATTGGGAAAAACCGGCGCGCTTTGACCCCCCCAGTGGCGAAGGGCGTGGCTTTTGTAGCCCTCTCTACGCCCAAACCCTTGTCCCCGCAAACCCGACCAGCCTCCTTCGATCCCCACCCCGCTGCCCCCCCCCAGCCCCCATGACCGGCCCAAACCCGACTCGGCCATTCGACGGCCGAGCTTCCTTCAGCTACGCCTGCTGCCTGCTGCCTGTCTGCTTGCCCTGCTGCTATCTGCCACTCAGTTGTCGTTTTTTTCTGGTGACCCGGGGCTACCCAACATCTCCTCTCGAATTCTCCAGGTCACCTATCTGCATCGCCTTTCAGGGTGGAGAGCTCCCTGCTTAAGGATTAGGTTCTCCTAATTTCTGCCGCTTCAAGCCGAAGTTTGCCACCTCACATGCCTTTCAAGGTGGCACACCAACATCTCAAATTCAGGTTTTGACGGCCCTCAACCTTTCGAACCCTAAACCCCAATCGTAGAGTGAACTAGGTGCTGAGGGTACATGATGGATGGCTCTGGGCGGTACTTTCGTTCTTTCTGGAGGGAGCGCTTACAGGTACCCACCACCACTTGCCTGAACTAAGCGCCGCCCCCCCCCCCCCTCGCGAGAGCCCCACCCACCTCCTCTGCTCCCAAAGTACTTTCTTGCCTACCATGACTGTGTGAGGCAAGGAGGAGAAGGGGGGGAGGGGGTGGGGGGTCTGGGGGTTTACCCCAGCCAGTGATCAGAAGAAAACTTTCTGCAAGAGGCCCTTGTAAAAGCCCAAACAACGCGAACAAACCCAGAACAAGCTTTCTGGGCACCTAGCTTTGACTATACATGCGCGGGACACAACCGACATCAACATCTGTGAGCGGATAACCATTGTGTGATTGTGCTTTGTCATTGAAGAAGGGAATTTACAAGAACTGGCTTCACTCTCAGACTTACTCTTCTGGGCCCTGTTCGTACAGAAGCTATAAAAACTCATCAAGATGAACGTGAACAAGGTGTCTTTTGGGAGTGCTAGGGTTTAGGGTTCCTAATTCACTCGGTGTCGTCCTTCTTTCAGTAGCAAGAGCTCATTGGAAGAACAATTTGTATCTTGTTCACCAGTTCATCTGTATTCTAGCATGTGTTCCAGCTGAACCACTTCTCAGTTTATACCAGCAATTGCAGGTGCGAAGCGCATGCACCCAACAAACGCACATAATGCATAAGCAGGTGGTTCCTCTTTTCTTTAAGTTTAAATCTGCTGCATCCTGAAGGTGACGAAGAACGGTAATTTAAAAATGCTTGCACTATATTGAACTCGAACGATTATTCTACGCCTCCTCTACTTGGAAATGTTAGAGACACCACTGCCCGTCCAAAAAACACTTTCCACGTATTCAACTATCGGCATTGGGGAACGAAACAAGTGGCAAGCTCGCAAGATCCTGACTCTCAATGTCAACTATCACTTCTATACTCAAGAATTGGCCATCGCTGCGGAATGCCAACAGAGAAATGCAACAGTAAGACTATAACAAATCTTGGCCTTCCCTAGCCTACCGGAGGATTTTTCAGGGTAGTGCTTCCTTGGCAGCTTTAATGAAGAATGGGCCCAGATGAGGCGTTCTGCAGACTTGCATGGCACTCGAGGCCGAAACAGCTGATTGGCAGTCCAGCAACGGCCCGTCGCCTTCAGCTCGTTGGTGCAGCTGTCGAGCTCGGACTCTGCTTGTTGCAAGATTCCCTGGCATGACAACCCCCGCTCAGGTACGTCTGCCTAATAGTTGCAGGCACCTCTGTTGTGGCAAAGCTTTCCTCGCAACCCGAAAGGTCAAGGTCCCTCTGGGAGAGCAGATCCTGCAAAGCCGCTGCAAACTTGTGTTGCGCGGCATGAGAATCCGGGGTACACGTCAGTCGACTGTCAGCAGCGTTTCAGCTCGTGTCCTGCGCTTCCTCCAGCTCTTGTCGCAGGCTTGCAGCACAGGCCTGCAAAAACAGTCACCGCCGGTAGTAGTTCCCAGTAGTAGTATGCCGTAGATTGCATATACATATATATATATATTTATATTTATTTATTTATTTATCTATTTATTTATATTTATATCTATATTTATATCTATATGTATATTTATATATGATATTTATATATTTATGTTTATATACTATATACATATATATATATATATTTTTCTATATTTATGTGTTTACTCATCTATCTATACTTATTGCAATAATTTGCCATATGAGACTGCTATGTTATGTTGCACTTACTATGTTCTGCTATACCATGTAATGTTGTAGCATACGATGCTACATATATCATAAGGCTACGTATTGCAGCACGTAGCAGTCCCTGCAACGACAGAGCCTCCTCCACTGCAAAGTTGCGCCTGGAATCGGCCAGCTTTGTCCGATCACCTTGGATCATCTTTGCGGATCACTCTGCAGGGCATGTGGCGGCTAAGACTGCTCTCTCAACTTCAGCTTCTGAACTAAGGTTCTCGCAGTGAACCTTTTCCTGCAACCTTGGTTTTTGCAGAGGTGTTGCATACACGAGGCAAAGCAATACAAGAACTTCAGCAGTGGGACTGGGCCAGCATGCCTAGAGCAGCCCTCAGAGCCTGATCAACGAGCAAAAGACCCAAGGCCCCGTAGGAGGATGAAAGTTAAAAGGCCCGTAGAAAACAGATGCGTGCATTTGCTTAGCCTTGTCCCGACTGAGGCAACTTGCAGTAGTTGCTTCTAGAGATGAAACATCTGCAACACACGCGTTCCATTGTCTGTGCATATACCGTGTAAAACACACTCCCTCGTAGGTGCGCATAGCCATGCTTGTGAATGCTTGGCTGCGATTGTCTTAAAACATCTTCCGTACATTTACTTTAGAGCTGATTTCGGATGTGCTGGTAGTTCTCTAGGGTGAAGTCATGCATGTGACTCACACATGTGCAGTCGTCCAAAGATCTCACACTTCCAATGGGCATCAGGCCGTGTCAGCTTTGCCATCATGGCAGTGCGCTTCCAGCTCCTGGTGAGCTCAGACTCAGAAAATGTGGAACGGGCTGTGGAACAAGAAAACATGAATGCCGACGACTGAGGAACAAACGACGTCTCAACTTTGGAGGACGAGTGTTGTGCTTGGTCCAACTCGGCCTGGCCAGCGTCACTTGTCTCGGCAATCTGTCACTGCTGTCTCTGACTGTGTCCGCGACTGTAGTTGCACTTGAAGCCCTATCTCTAGACTGCCTCCGCATGCTAGGCTGCATGTGTGCTAATCATCCGAGCTGGGTTGTCTGACTGTGTGCGTGCCTTACGTCGAACAGTTTCCAAGCAACCAACCCTCGTAGTCTTGATAGTTAAGCAGCACACAAGAAATTTCCAGCCGTTGTTCAGGTAGAGAGGTGGATGAGGTGGGAAACAGCATCGTGTCAGATGTGTTTGCAACCCTCTAAAGGACATCCAACTATTCGGCAGCTGCTGTGGAGTCGCCGGAGTCGTTGTCATGAGTGGTAGGGGTAGTGGTAGCATGCGGTGGAGGTTTGGCCGGCGACACGATGGCTTGACATTGCTGCCTGTGGCGTTTAACGTACCCCGAGGACGCACACAGAAGCATACAAGTGCTTGGCAGTGCTTGGCAGTGCTTGACACATGCCGGTGCTTGCAAGCAACTTGGACAAACTGCTTAACTGCTTTTGCAGATGGGCATGTAGCAGACCCCATGACTCAGAAACAAAGGTCGCGTGAAGGCGAGAGCAAACTGTACATTGGCTGGAAGTGCAGTGCTGCAGCATCCGAGTCGCGTTCCGAAACCGACTCCGAGGGTCCAGGCTCCTTCACTGTGAGGGAGACTTCTGTAGTGGTGGTGTCGGGGGAGCGCGCCTTTGGCTTGCCCCAAGCGGTGGACCCCTGCACTTGCCGCACTTTTGGAAGTGTGGGGCAATCGGGGTCCAGTGGCGGTTGATTGTAGCCACCAAGTGAGGCATGAGGCGTGAGGTGGGGAAAACAAACTATTGATTTTCCAAGCCTGTCTTGGCCTTTCTTTGGACTAGGAGCCTTCGAGCCTGAAACCCAATGCACCTTCCAGCAGCCAGCAGCGGAGTATCCCGAATGCCACGTCTCCAGTTGCGTGACGAATTGTGCAACAGCCATTTGCGAAAGACAGACTTTATATGAACTCACACAACCTGCTGACGTCCGAAGCAGCCGGCTCTCCTGATGCGTTTGGCTTGATCCCTATGGTTGTGTTGACGTTTCATGAAGTCCCGTCATGAGCCATCAGATCAGACGCGGTCAAGCCTTCAGATCGATGTGATTCATCTGAAGACTGCGGTACCGCCGTCTCTCCTGAGCGTTCTCGCACATGTGCACCATCCTACGCAACGGCAAAGGCATGAGATGGCACACCGGCCTCTTCAATTTCATCACCGAGGCCCTTCAGGGCCTGTCCGTTCCAAACTCCACACACGAAGCATGTGAAGACGCTCACTGGGCGCCTCTTGATGATTGAGAGCCGCGGTGCTTTCATGCTTCATTTCCTCACTGCCATCCCCAACCCCCATCTTCGCAAGCAATACTTCCCAAACATGGTAACAAGTCAGCTAGCGGCCAGAAGTCGCAGACATGCACCACAGTGAAACTTTGCTTGCTGAATCCGCCCTCTCTCCCACCTCCTTGAGGCTTTGAAGATCACGCGAGAGTGAGCGGTGCTCGGTCTCTTTCTCATCAAGCTCCTAGGGCACCGAGACTGCGTGGGACCCCACGAACCTCTACATATGACGCTTTAAACCTTGTAGCTTCAGACGCCTGGACACCTAGGCCTCGCACATGGAGGAGGTCCACACATCGGTCCGCTTCGCTGCAAAGCTGGGCCTCACACATCCATGGCAGTCTAACAGAGTGCCCGGCACTGAAAAACACGTGCCGAGCAGTTGCGGGGGCCTTGGCATCCGCGACTTTCGTGGCCATAGCAGTTTGTGCCTGGGAGAAGAGATATCAAGACTCCCTGCTTCCCTTCGCCGAGTTCCATCGGGTGCCCTTCAGAGTCTCCGCCTTGTGAGCTTCCATGGCTTTGGTCGAATATCGCTCCAGCTCTCGGTGCAGCTCCCGCGCCTGGCGTGTTAAATGGAGTGACTATTCAGTATTAAGTATCGAGTATTAAGTATTAAGTACTAAGCATTAAGTATCGAGTATTAAGTATCGAGTATTAAGTATTAAGTACTAAGCATTAAGTATTAAGTATAAAAGCACTAAAAGCATTAAGTGCAGGGTGAGATTCGTGCAGCACCGCAGCAGCCCAAGGCCTCCGCCTTCAAGGGCTCAATGATGTGGGGATCATTGCCGGCAATCCTGGTGCTACACTTTCAGCGGCACAGGCAGTACGAGAATAGCGCGAGGACATACGAGGATGTACGAAGCAGAGTCTGCACGTGTCTGCAAGCAAGCTGCTGCACATCGCTGAAGCGACGCTGATCAGCTACTTGGCTCAAACGTCGAACTAGCTCCTCAAAACAGGCAGAGACCAGATGAGACAAGGTTCAGCAGATCAGCGACGATGAGATGATCACGACTAAGGAATGCACGAAGGGGTTCTGGTCGGTCTCAATCCGCTTCTGCTTCTTCTCTGGTACGCCTCGCAAGTTCTCACCCCTCTGATGCACTAGCATAGGCTCGACCATGTTCTAGATGACAAGACTTTTGCCAGGGCAATCCGAGGCTGACGAAACCCACTTTATCTTTCAATCGCCCACCTTGAGATGTCGCTTCCATAAGCTGCCTTATTCCCCGAGTGCTACAGTACGGACTCCTCTGCTTCTCTCCCACAGCTCATGTGCAAAGAAGGAATCATCGGGGATCGTTTCGGCGGCTGCCGGCTCCACTGTGTGTGGGCGTGCGCAGAACGACCAGAAATGTCCCGCTGAATCTACTGGCAAGCTGCTGGATGGTCTGCGCCAGGTCGGCCTAGAACTCACAGGGTCTGCACAGATGTGATCTTTTTTTTCTTCTATTGACCGCCACCTGCTGTGACTGGTCCAGGGACACGATAACTTGGATGGCCTCCTCCTTGGCGGCTGCCTTCGCAAACTAAACATAGTCCAACAACCAGACTTTTGCAGTCTTCATGCTGCATCACACATTGCAGTTCAGATCTGTCAACGGTGAGAGCCTCCACTGCAACTACGAGGATGGCCGCTACAATGTTGCGGGCCTGCAATTACAACCGGCAGATTCGACAAGCACAAGACGTTCGCAAGCTTTGGTCTGTCCTATCAAAGCTGGGAGCCCCACTGCCGCTGGGCCACCAAGCTCAGCAATAGCTGGCTCGATGAGGCCTGGACGGGAAAACGACTTGCCAGAGCAGAACGGCTTTCATCTAGCCTTCTATATAATATGATTCAAGATAGATGTACTCCTTCTTCATCTGATGTTTTTCCGAGATGAAAGAATTGAATGCATCAAAGACCAGAAATCAAGGCATCTGTTGATCAATATGCTTTTCTTCTGGGTCTCTGGGGCATCACGATGGTGAAAGACATGCATGCTGTATGATGAGACTAGTGACCTAGAAGGAAGAAAAACATGGTCCATACTGGCCAGGAAAGGCCAAGATTCGCCAGAATTCCTGCAACAGCAACAACTTACCTTGATGGTTTTTTGAGGACTTATACTGAGTTTGCTTTCTTACTTGCTATTGGACGGCTAGTAGCTTCTAGACAAATGCCCATCTGGTAAGTACTTCTCCTAAAGCTTGATCATCCATTGAATCCTGGCGGTCGCATTCATGGTATCTCTACGTCGTGCTAGGGATCAAGGAAGTACAAGAAGTCTCATAGAACAGGTCCGAAATTCAAAGGCGGTTCATATAGGATCGTGGCTCATTCGCATGGCCAGCTGTTTGCGAGGAATTGCGAGCCTGCCCGGAAAGAGTTGAGCATCTCTGCAGCTCGTCGCCGTCGCTGCGAAGCCTGCTGCCCGCGCGTACCTCCAGGTCGGTGGAGATTCCGCTGGCGAAGCTGGACACACTGTGGTTTATCTGCCTTGGTCTGGATCACCAAGCCCGAATATCCTGCAAAGCATGGACACCGAGTCCGTGTCAACGATTGCCTGCCAAGAGACAACAAATACCCCATGCTCGCCAAAGAGACCATGTCAGATTGCCAGCTCGATGCCGTGAACACGGACAAATGCCCAGTGCAAAAATAATGGAAGAGACGCTCAAGATCGCCACTCGTCTGCAAACTTGTTCCTGCCACTACCCCGGAAAAGCCCTGGCACTCTAAGAATTAGAGGTCTCCTGCCTCCAGAGTAGGAGCTGGCTCGCCAGTGTGACTTTGCAAGCTTGCATTGGCCCAGGCCTTTGCTCACGATGACATCGGCTACTGGCTACCATGCAGGAACTGCAGTACGGCAGCTCAGTGCCTGGAGAGGCAGTTTCTCTGAGTTACGAATCAGCTTGGTGAATGAGTTGCACTGAGTTGTAGACCAGCAAAGCTGCGTCACAGGCATCTGGACCTCACAGCCAAGACTCTCAAAGCGCAGGTTTCCAATATGCCGAATATGCCCCCCACCAAATACCCAGAGAGCCAGAGACTTGAAGGCCCCTGAAGGGAACCCGCGACAAGCCCAAGACACCGGCTGGACATCACAGCTCATTGCGATCGCAAGGTCGCAGGACACCTGAAACACATGGCTTTCAAAGGCAAGCGGGCCACATCTTCAGCAGATGAGTTTGCATGTTGCACCTTCTTCTGCGAAGACCAGCTCATTTCCATCAGCAAGTTGGAGAAAGCTAAGGCACAACAGAATAAGGCGAATAAGGTGCGAGACTGCCCGCAAGTCTGATCGCGGCCCTCTACAGCACTGCTTGTTTACCGGGAGAGTCGAGATGCGACGCTTTATGAGAGCAGCGTGAAGGGCAGGTGGACAGATGGATTGTGCACAGGTTCGGAAGCAGCTGCGCCCATGTCGCACTGAAGCAGTGGATTCGGGCATGTCATCTTTGCCATCCACAAAAATAAGTCTTGAGGATCGCAACGGAATTCTTGATCAGCCTTCGGCCGGCGGAGTTGTGAGAGAACGCCTCTCAACTCAAAAACGGCCCTATGTCAGGGAGGGTTTTCTGGATGATCCCACCTTTGGAGACATCATGCACAGGTGGTGGCCATCGAATTCGAACTAAAACTTAGGCTGCAGGTAGACCAGCTGAAGGTGAGTCCGAGTGCGTCATGCCGGTCGCTATGACATCTCCAGATTTCCAGCCTCGTCGGGCTTGCTTGCTTATGCGTCACAGGCCATATCAAATACTTCCGACGCTGAACATCACAAAGGATCGGGCAGCTGCTGCGTCCTTGACAGCCTCGTACAGGTGGCACTACGGGCCGCCCGAGATTTCACAACCCACCCAGCCTGCTTGTCAACCTCCTTACGCCCGAAAGAGACGGCGGGGAGACTTCAGGGCACAACCATCGACTGTCTTGGCTCCGCAACGTGCATCCCGCATCCAATGCGCATCCCCCCCGCCTTGTCTGCAGGTCTATATGTCGCTTGGGCATGGGGCCAGGCCGCGCTGGCCTAAGCCAGCCCCACATCACTCTTTAGATATTCTCAGGGCGTTTTGCACCCCGCCATCCTTTCGTGAGGTCACTGCAAGCGTGAGTCACGGAGACCACAGCGGCGGCAGTGCCTGAGACTTATGCATGCCTGAAGTCACAGCGAATGCAAGAGGAAAATGCTTCTGAACTGGTCATGAAGGATGCCAGATGGCTTGGCTCAACACTCCTGAGTGTCGAAGTTCTTCGCGTCGCAAGAGCCACACCGCCTTGAAATCTGAACTGCGACCAGTATGCTCGCCCCATACCCTGTTCAGCTGGCACCGAGGACAGTTCCACTCACCGTCTTCAAGAGCTTGAGCACGGGATTTGGGGTACTCGGGCACTACCTTGCGCAAAGCATGCCTTGCATCATCTTGAGCCAAACTTGCCTACGTCTTATGAGGTCTTACGGCCCCGGGAGTCCCGGCCTCTTCCAGGTCGGCTTCGTCGTCCTGATTCTCTTGAGACGCAAGGCCCCAGTGTACCCAGTTGCAGGTCAACAAGTTTCCCGAGCGTCGGGCGTGCCAATGCAGCTTGATGGGCTTCGAGTTAATCCTTCCATGGCAATTGTGATAGAGCACGCAAACGAACAAACAAGGATCGGCCCAGGCACGGCACAAACATGTCACATGTCCTTGTTTTCTCCCCCACCTTCTGCGGAGGCCTTGCCCTCCACTTCAGCATGACAGGGCCTCAGTGACACTCAGTGACCAGATGCTACAAAGAAGTTCCTTTGTCACTCGAAACCTTTCACTTGAAAAACCTTCACAGTGAGCAAACTGCAGCAAAACCAGCAAACCAGGCCCAGACCAACAATGGCCGGAAGGATTTCCTCTGCAGGACGCCAGAACAAGATCTTGGGATCGATGAGATTCACCTCTCGGTGCGCGTTCTAAGGCGAGAGAGATTGTCAAACTCGTGGTTTCTGTATCGTGAATCAGAGCGAACAAAAGTCGTGCAGACGCTCGGACTCAGCCTGCAGCACCTCGTCGCCCTTGCGCACGCCGAGCTCAGCGGCCCGAGACCCGGGCCTCTCTGAAGGCCACAAGAAACAAGAGGGCCCTTCAAGAGGGCCCCAAAGAGGGAAACAAAGAGAGAGTGAAGGAAACTCGGAAACTCTTCGCGAACCACACGAGAGTCTCTAGACAGTCTGCCCCCTGCAGCTTGGAAGAGGCCCCTACCGCACGCTTTGGAAGTAGACCGCATCACCTTCGCCGCCTGCGAAAGACTGAGAAGGATGAGTTTTTTAGCACCACAAGAACCACAAGTCTCTCAGCCATCTGTGGGATGGACCCTCCAAGGCCACTTCATTCGCGGCGTCCCGTCTGTCCTGTGGATACAATGGCGCATGAACTGGGATGCACTTGTTGCACCGCGACATTCGGAGCGACAGGCTGCAGCACGACCTCGTAGTGTAAACAGCCACCGCCAGGCTGAGCAGGCGCCTACATTGACTGCAATTAAGTCCATCCTGGGCAGTAGTGCCCACACCGCGGGAAGCGTACTATGCTTGTGCTTGGGTTCCGTCCTGCTCTTGAACTGGAGTACCTGAGTAAGGCAGCGAGGCGCAGTACACATGTCGGTCTCATCGCTTCTAAATGCCTGGCGAGGCACCAGGTCTGAGAAAACGCAACAGCCCCAGCCAGCAGCCTCACAGTTCACAATCGCTGCAATCTCCGATTAAGCGCTCGTGTGAGCTGCTTCTGGTTGCCGTCTCTGCTAAGAAGCCTGCTGGCTCTCGGAAGCGCTGCCATCAGACTGAAATCTCTGGATACTGAACGCCAGTATCTAAATGTAGCCTAACGTGGAAAGGACAGGAACATCGCATGGCGCACTCTCGAGCCGGATTTCAGGAGGCAGATCATGCGCTCCAGGCAGGGGCCCCCAACTCAATAGACTCATCTGGACACGTGATTTTCGATGATTCTGAGCACGCTTCTTGCAGAATCATGAAGCGAGTCTGATGACTCGCTACCCCGGCTCACACCACGACGAAGGCCGTGTTCTTTGGGCGAGTCATCAACAACAATAGCAGCAACTTCATCATGCTCCTCATCGTCCGAGTGTTCGCCTTTGTACGGCTCAACGTCGTGTTATGGGCACCCGATGCAGCTCCAAGCCGCACGTGCCAAGACGTGTCCTTCCTTTGACGCCTCCCGCGCGATGTTCGCTGCAGTTGCCATTTCCAGGATCTTCTAGGACTTCCTACTGTTTTATGGGGCGCTCGCCCGTAGAGATGAAAGTCTCAGTCAAGCTGTGGCGAACTCATTGGCATCATCGCCCTGATGGCCACCATCAGACCTCAGCAAATGAGAGCCGATGCCAATGCGTTCTCCAAGGGAAGGGTGTCAGAAGAGAATGAAGTTGGCCCGACTGATGAGATTCTCTTAGCTAGGGTAGCGGCTTCTTTATGTCAGAATCACCCTGGAAGTCGAACTGGTCGACGATTCCACCAGCCCAAGTGCTGTCCTCAGCATCTGGCACAGTGCCTGGACCGCTTCAGACTGCAACTTGTAGCATTGCAACTGCCTCGTCACCCTCGTCCAGGCAAACGTACGAGTTGAGCTTTCCCTGGCTGGCCTGAACAATCAAAGAAACGCCGGCAAGAGCCTCTGCTCACCGCCACGACGGCCTCATACGCCATGAAATTGTCGACCGGCTGGTTGACAGAGCTACTGGCAGCCAAGAGCAGCTTCTTTGCTCCGGCCTTACGAAGTCGCAGAACGACTTCAGGCTACACACCGCAGTACTGGCATTTATGAGTTCCAGGTGTTTCAAGCCTGCGAAATGACATATGCGACGGTTGTCCACACATACTCTGCCTGCACATATCAGTACTCAGACTACGGAAGCTCAACACACAGCCACTGGCGCTGAACGACTAACCATTGAAAATGTGAGACTTATGGTCTTTGACTACATGTGCAGACTCCTGGGTCAATTGTGGTCAGATGCGCCTTCTGGATGTATGTCCGGTGCTCCGCCGAGAGCTCGGTATCATCCTCCTGCCATCGTTCGGCCCTCTCTGCCACCAAACAAAGAGGCACCAGTGTAAATGGGGGCCTTCATGTGGTAGAAGTTCCCACCTCGCCATCCAGACCAGCCCAAGTAAAGCACGTCCTGGGTGAGCTAATATGCCAAATCCTCTTGATTAAGAGGTGCGGACCCAGTGTGTTCAAAGTGCAGCAACAGGCTCGAAATCCCCAGGGACTGACTGAAGGGCACGTGTCAAACGTTCTGTGAAAACCTGGACAGGGTGTTTCACTCCATTGTTTGAACAACGCGCATCTCAAAGTGACGATGCTGCTTCATGCGCTTCACAAAGACCTTGCCGTTCATCTTGCCAAGGTCGCCATTGCGATCAAACGTCAGGTGCACATCGTCCTACATTTGACGTCATTTGACAATGTTGACACGGCTTTGGATCCTCGTAACAATTTTGAACGCAGAACCCCGGAACCTGCTACGCCCCCACTCCTCGAGGACGAGTGTGGGCTCGGCTCGCTCGGCAGCGAGGCGCCAGAGTCGCCTCATCAAGATCTGCATGTACGGCACGGACCGTAAGAGCCCAAAACCTGTCTTGTAGGGTAAGAAGCAGATAAGGGCCTTGAATCACCACCTACAAAGAATGAGGTTTTGGGTTCGCAATGTAGGATTTAGGAGAATTTGGGGCCGTCTCTGGCCAGTCTTGTCATTCTCAAGCTCCCAGTCCGGTCGCAAATGCGAGTGAGCGCAGCCACGCTCTCCACCAGACATCAGCTGCTCCTGCACTTGCGACCCGCTTCGGGGAATTTTTTATCGTGACTTTGGATGATTTTGGGAGACGCTGGGAGCTTGGAGGGTTAGCTTGCGCTGGGATTCAAGATTCCATGGATTCGGGATTTGGGGTCCAAGGTCCGTTGAGTCATTATCTACCAGCTTCGCGGTCTGCTGGCATGGACACGGGTTTCTGATGTAGACTGACACCACCGCATCGACAGAAGCTTTGACAGATCGTCCTTTCAGCTTCTGTGTGTTCCGCGTGTTCAGAGGTCAAGTTATTGGCTTCTTGTGGTCCCTTAGTCACGGTTGTTTCCCATTCTGGCTGGCAGCCGATCGGGGACTGGTGTTGCCAGGCTTGCAGCGCGGTTAAAAATCGGGGATTTCTCATTTCTGGGCATCTCAAACTGGGTCGAAAAAGGTCTCGAACACACTACGATGCTGTTGCCAGTGCTGTTGCTGCTGCTGAGAGTCCTGGCCATCACGGAACCGCTGAGCAAAAGACAGCCGAACCTGACAACGGCTTGCCCCGTGCACTCCACATACTACAAACAAATGACAGGCACTGCGAAAGACTCAAGTCAGCCGAGCCTGCAACTTCTCTCCGGTGGACTTCTTGGTAACGGTGCCCTTTCGCTGCGGCTGTTCCTCAAAGCTTGGTGCATCGCGCACGTAGCCTGGGGATTCCATCTCATGCAGGGCTTCAAACAAGGCGCCTTGTAACGGAAAATGATTCTGTGATTGGTGCTTTGCTCGTTCCCCGCATCTTCATGGGCAAGCAATGACCGTCATTGAACGATGCATCATGCGTGCGAGGGAACGAGTGAGAAACGAAACCGGTCAGGGCAACACGCAGATTGAATATTGGGAATAAAATATTGGGGGGGCAGTGGAAGCAGAAGACAACACTCTTCTTGCAGCCCAGTGGCTGAATTCCGGCCCTTCCTCCTGAAAGATCCAGTCGTCATCCTCTTCGGGGGCATCAGCCGCCCACATCCATGGGCTTCCATCCTTGCCACACAATCTTAGACCAAACTTAGACCAAAGCAGCAGAGCTTAGGAAAACGCATGACGGCCTCGAAAACCCACTCGAAGTAGTCAGCGAAGAGTGCCTCTGCGAACAGCTTGTCGCTGAATGAACAACTCACTGGGGCAAGAGCAGCAACTCGACTGAACACATGCCAGGCTGGCATTTCTGGATGTGCTCCACTTTAGCGCGATGTCCTGTTTTCTTGGAGAGGTTGAGAAACTGTCAATGAGCAGGATTGTCTGTGGTGCCCAGCCTCTTCGGGAATTGTCATCTTGGATCCATCCGAGGCCAGGAAGCGCTCGAAAGACAGCCAAGGCAACTCCTGAGCATGCGGAGCTCAACACCCTGCCACGCGACAAGGCATCGCGCCTACCTTCTTTAACATCGTCTGCACCCGCTTCCACCTGCATCAGCATAGCATGCAGAAGTAGGGCGGTTAGAACTTACAAGGAGATCGCACGTGAGAAGCCTGTCCGGACGCCGCTCCAGATTAACCACAAAGGCTCGAAGCTCCTGCGGTTACTACAACAGGATACAGGATGCAGGGCACTCGCCGTTCGCAAAAGAGGTGCTTTCATAGGCTTCAAGCATCAGTACGAGGTTTACAACGGACGTCCACCGATGTCCTCAAGCACTGAATCTACAATCACAGGCTTGGCCTTTTTCGCCTTGGCTTCAACTGGAGCCATGAAAACTCCATGAACTGAAGAATCTGACATTTACAGAAACTGACTGCATGAAATCTGCACGATACGCTTGGCGCAGGCTTCGCATTCAGGCCGATGAGGCCGATTTCTCATCATGTGGAAAATCAGCTCACTGCGGTCCAGCCGCTGCCGGCTTCTTCACGGCTGCAGCGGGTCGCTTCAGCGAGGCCTCTTGCCAAGTTCAGACGAACTACTCATGACGAGTGGGATTTCGACTGCAGAGTCGTACTTAGACACGGACCGTCTTCGTCGCGGCGGGCCGTCGGTGAACCTGCCACAATGCATGAGAAAGAGGCTTTTGCATGGGGTGTGAAACGCCGTGAAAGCCTTGGCGCTCGCAGGCTTCTTCATTTTGCCTGGTCGTGGATTTTTAGTAGCCAGGCTAGAGGAGCACGCCTAACCTTGCAGCAAGGGCCTGCGCTGGCTTGTGCGGCACTCTTCTTTGGCGCCCTATCACAACCAGCGGCAAGCTGCACCTACAAGCCTAAGCATAAACTACGACAGCCTGTTCAGCCAACGATGATCACAACGAATCCGTCGCACGCCGGGACACGACTGCATGCTGCGATCAACTGTCATCTGCCGGCTCCGCAAATCTGGGCGCTGCTTTATCCAGCAACTCTCGTAACTGTACAGCATGAGAACGGCTGGGTCAAGCTGAGTATTCGGACCATTTTAAGACCTATGCACGATTTCATGCTGATTCTGTCTAGCAGATGTTTCATTGCTGTCCCTCCCATCAGCCGGCGCTCGCGTCGTAGTAGGCGGACATGTCCCTTGGTTCCGTCATCCATGGGATCCATGGAACTCTGGACATCTGCTTCCTGCTGCGCACGGTTTTCGGAGCTGTCGAGAAGCTGTGATCCCAGGCTTCTGGTCACCCGGCCTTCTGCCCTGACCAAAGTTCTGCACATCGAATTTGTGGAAAACAACAGGGGGGGCAGCTTGTGGCCCCGAAAAAACTCATCTTGACACATTGCAAGAGCAAGAAGGACAAAAACACTTTTTTTTGGATTGTGAAGCCACCGTGCAATCTCTACTCAGGAATACAAGTGGTAACCTCAATGTGGCAGCATCTTGGAAAAGAAGAGGCAAGCCATACATCATGTCAGAGACTGTTAGGCCGGGAACGCGAAAATGAATCGGAGTCTCGTGCCGGGTGCAATCGATGAAAGAGCCTGAGAGGAGCAACAAGATACCATCATAAGCATTTTCCATCATCGGCGAACGCATCAAGGAGAATTCAGCGCGAAACCGGTGGCCTGCCTACACCCCAGCCACGCCAGTCTGGAGACTCTGGAGCGCACCAATAGTTGACAACGTTCCTTGCCGACAAATGCATGGTGCAGGTGCAGTCAGCTCTGGCGCACGCAAGAAGATCGCAGGGAAGGCAGTAAAGACTCTGTGTTGCATTGTACGCGCGCACTCGGCTGCCATCTGGATTGATTGCCCAGGAGCGCTCCTGCCCAAGGTTACGCATGCCACGAACAAGGAGAATAAGTTCGCTCTGAGATGCAAAGATGCCTGCATGTAGATGGCAACTTTGCCTCGGCAAGTTGCAACATTACGTCGCTTGAAACAGCTATAGGGCACGCGACATCACGCAACAGATGAGGATGCGCCGTGCGTTGCCTCACACATCCCTTCCATGCCGCATCCCATCTCAATACCCCAATTGCTGAAGGTCAGCCAAGTCTCTACCGCAGCTTCTGATGCTGTCTTGAGTGGCAAAGAAATCGCAAAGATAGCCTGCGCCACGCTGGCAGCAACATTGGAGAGATTTAGAGAGATTGTGGTTGATGCGTGGATTCAATGCTGTCTACGTGACCAGATTGGTTCCAGCAAGCATGGTGTCAGGAGGGCTGCGTTCCAAAAACACCTATAAGCAAAAATCATCCGAGCGGCGCGACGTCTGCATCGATGGGCAACTGACTCTCGAAAATGTCAGCTCGGCCCCTGGATCAGCACACCTCACAACTCTCACAGTCAGAACATCGGGTTGCAAGAAAAATCTAAAGGGTTTCAGGGCCAGCAAGAACTTTTCCGAAATAACTGCTCTTATCCGCGAAAGCCAGCTCATGCCAGCTAGTCTTGCGCGTCTGCGAGCTCTCCAGCTGAGACATCATGGACAATCAGCCATGAGCCATGTCTTGTCACGCACAGCTGCAAGCCCGCAAATGGAGGACTTCCAGAGAGCGCAGCAGCTGGCAGAGCATCCAAGTTTTTCGCGAAAAGCGCAATGTCTTTGGCGGTATCTTCTGCCAGTCTTTCGCGGACCAAGGCTTGTTTCGGCATGCTTGTTTTTGCAAAGTGGAAGACAAGGACCGTTTGCGCAACCTTCAAGTCTTCAAGCGCCCTTGATGTGCAGCGAATGCTCGAGCCGAGTTGTCGCGCAGTGCTTCCGCAAAGAGGCCCGAAAATAATGCAAGTGATGCAAATTGCTCAGTGTGTTCCACAGCTGGGAAGAATTCTTCAGCTGCAGCCAGGGCACGCAAAAGTTTCTTCGCCCGGTAGAAGAGCTTCGTACCTCCGGCGACGAGACGTGCCAAGGCTGAGCAATCGCTGTTGGCATGCTCGTCATAGTTGTATTGTATCTATCTCCCATCACGTGCCTGCTGGACATGGAGAATCCTGCCCATGTGGCAAAGTTGGGATGGCCGCAGAAAGGAGTGCCAACCCCCTTCCAATCTCCATTCAACCTGATCATGCATAGAGAACGCAGGAGTCCGCGGTAGGTTGCACATCCAGAGCTGGAAGCACAGGGGATAATGCGAGGAGGTGACTCTATAAAGTCCGTGTCCCACGGGCCATCGACATAACGCCAAGAGATCCTCTGCATCAGCAGAAAATCCATTACTCAGCTGCTACTGCGACTCGTTGATGGATGAGGATTGACAGATGAGGGAACATAAGGTACAGAATTAAGGACAGCTAACACCACTGCCAGCCTCTGCAGGCCCGAGGACCTCAATTCCGACACCTCGTCACAACATCAGCGGAACATCTGGGGAAAGTGTACACTATTGCGACTCTGCCTGGTAGGACATCTTTGCCGGCACAACGACATTCCAGTCTTTGAGAATGACGTCGGCCTCGCAACCATTGACAAAGGAAAAGTTCGTCACCTGGAAGGGCCGAGTCGCTTGAGGCTTTCAGTGTGAGCCAGCAGCTTCCCCATTTAACTTCGACCCAAAGATGCTTACCGGGGGGGGGGGGGTACTCTGCGGGTTCTCGGGTTTGCTTGCACTCTGGCCTGCGAGCAACCGCCATCAACAAGCAGGGGAAGGAGAAGGACGAGAATGTGGCACAGGATCCGCACTGCCATCAGCAAACGGATCGAGAGCTTCGGAGCAACAGTTTACTGTACAGCATAATATATGTCTGGCACGTGATCTAGATGCATCTAGAGAAAGAAAACCTGCGCAAGGACGCTGCGAAGTCTCCTTGTGTGAAGAGCATGCCATATTCCAACGATCAATGAGCGATGGGGGTGCTACTTGGCAGCATCAATTCATCCATGCACCATGAAGCTGCTGACTAAGCCAATCTGCTACACAAATTGATATCAGGTGATACAAGGGCCTCGGAGGATAGTAGGCAATGTCAAACTAGCCGACAAGCGTTTTGAATTCAATTGGCTTAGGAGCTGACAGCACGGGGGCGGCCCGAACCTGCACGGCAGACAGTGTCCACATGTGTGCTATCTGCAATTGCCTACATGTCTCTGCTACATCGAAGGGCGTTCAGCGTAGAAGATAAGATCCCAGCAGCAGCAGCAGCAGGACGCGAGGGGGCAGTCGAGGGTGTAGTCGACGGCGCCGGCGCCTGTGGAAGCTGCAGCTTGGGTGCATCCGTTCATAGTTTGCGTCCGCGCCTGGACTGTCGGTGCCCTCGGTCGTGGCTGAGGCTTCGGGGCCTCGAGGCTGCAAAAGACCTGCAGCCGAACCCAAAAAGCAGCGAAAGCAGCGACATGAGCACCTTCTCGCTTTTCTGTGCCGCTCTGAAGCCTACGTGTCGAATTGAGCTCAAGCTGGCATGGAGCGAGCACATTTCTCTGGACAGCTTGGGTCGCTCCCTAAGCTGCCCGTGTTTTCGGAGTTTGTACAGCGATGTCAGCTCATCGACTCCACTCACGCTTGCGGTGTTTGACAGAGTGGTCAATTCCTTCGCGAGAGAAGCCTCACTCGAACTTCATCCTGGTCAATCTCACCACAATGGTGTCCACATCTTGAACGACTAGCAGATCCGACCTCAGAATGACAGTAACAGCGGCAGTGCATACAGCCTATGCGTGCGCACTGTGTATACTATGTACTTGTATATACAATTATATACATAATGATTTGTTGGACATAACACGCCTGAGCAGCCTACTTTACATACCAACCACCCTACTAGTAGACCCAGAAACAAGATTTCGCCTTAAACCCTGAGCCCTCAAAAGCCTTAAGCCCTCAGCCCCATAACCCACAAATCCCAACAACCTAAACCCTGAGCCGATATCCGTGGGTCGGCCTGCTGCTGCTGCTGTTGTTGCAGGGCATAGGGCTGAGGGTTTGCACGTGTCTTTAAGGGTATAGGGATCAGGGCGGGTTTGGACTCAGGGTTTAGGTTGTTGGGATTTGGGGTTGTCCGCATGAAGATCTAAGGCTTCGGGCTCAAGTCTCTTGAGGGCTCACGGGTTACGGCAAAATCTGGTTTTGGGGTCTAAGGGGTTGGCACGAGCATTTAGATTAGGTTGCTCAGGGTACCTATATATATATATCGATAGATAGATAGATACATGATTATGATTGTATATGTATATGCTCCAGTGCCACAAAGGAACCGAGCTTGTTGAAGACGCCGTGCGGCGCGAAAGGCGTGACGTTGCCTGCGTACTCCCTGCGGCTTCCTTCATCACCGACTTGACCTGCCAGTGCCGACGTCTGCACAGCAGGCAAGAAAGTTGTGGGGCTCAGCCTTCGAGGTTGGCTTCGGCTTCGGGGCCTCGCCAAAATGAATTCTTCCCCAAAATTCTGACAGATGCCTCAAAGATCCTCAACGTCACATAGCGTATTTCAGTAGCTCAGCGTCTCTCTCCACTAAGGACAAAACCTGTCAGATTCACGAGCACGACGCTCCTTTGTTTGCAGGTCCTGGCGTGATCTGGCCATGACTCCGAGAAGCCACTAGAAGCGTCCTGCGTCATGACGGAATGTCCACGCACACCCGCCTCGACCATGCGAACTCCGATTCGTCGGTCCTCTATGAGCGTGTTGTGCCTCAGTAAAACACATTCGAGACAGCATCATCTTGACCCTGTTATGACCCTGTTATGACTGAGAGTGACTATATTGACTATGTGTATCCGAGGCTCATCTCCTTTATGGCATCGTTGGCGTCCTGACGCTCTTCGAACTCGACGAACGCAACTGTCTTGCCATCGGGCACCTGCGAGGAGCAATCCTCAAATTTTCAACACACAGAGCGCTCCGATCGGCTCGAAGCACTCGAAGCACCTCAATGCGGATGATCCGGCCGAACTCCCCGAAAGACGCTTGCCTTGGAAATGCTTGGAGGCAGGCACAACAGCACCAAGCTTGCTCACACACGCCAGCACTCACCCATAGTCCAAGGGTTTCACAACACAGTTTTCTTCATCTTGTCGGTGATGCCCGTGACGGCCACGGTGCAACTGCAAAAGCTGACACGCTGCACCGTGCACTGACAATCACTTGCAGCACGCCGCACAGGAATTGAATCTTGGGCACCCACTGGGGCTTCCAGGGCCTCCAGCCTTTGCCGCTTCCCTGAGAGCGAGGAATGGTGTAACTTCGCACTGACAAGATGTGACTGCGACAAGCCACTCTGAGGCCACGATGCCTGGGCATGCCCCCGGTTGGTGGCATCTCCGGCACCCCTGTTGATGGAGTGCATCCGCGACATGGCGGGATCTGATTCGGAATGTTTGATGAGTTTTGCGCCAAGTACTTAGTATTGCAGTATTGCTGCAGCAGGTGCTTGCCTGGCAGGTGAAGTGGGAAGCTGCCGGCGGCATCATGTCATGGCCAACACTCTGTCTGTAGAAGGAAAAAGCGTCTTGATCGTTGGTTTTTGATGGTTGTTGCAGATTGCAATACAAGAACGGATGACAATAGCAGCCCAACGTACTCACCCAACGGCTGCAATGTCTCTGTCGAAAGCCAAAAACGACTCTGAACGACTGGTCGAGAGTACTGCAGCCCAGCCCCATGGGGGCGATTCAAAATTGAGGAAGAAAAAAAAAGCTCAATGTAAAAACAAAACTTGCAGCTTGGCATATGACAGGTCTGGGGCACCTCATCGGCCAGGTCCCGCAGCTCTGCAAAGAGCTCACCTCCGTAGTGCTGGACCCCGGGGTCCTCTTGCCATCTTGCAATGGGCCATGGGGGGAGCCCATAAAAGAGGCTGCAGCGACGTCCTTAAAGTTGTTGCACTGCTGGGAGGTGTGCGCGCAGAGCAGCGACGGAAGGAAGTGGATGCCCCACCTAAGGCGGAGGCAGAAGAAGTGAAGAGAGGCTGCTTCAATCACCCGCAAACCTATGCCTCGTGTACCACTCCTCCCGAGAGAAGGCTTCAGCCACCTGGTCAGCGCACCATCCCGTGAGTCCAAGTTTTGTTGGAACCCAGAGACTGCTCAGCTGCTCTCAGAAATCTCAGACCTCCCTCATTGTACAGGGCATTGCCGCAGCCCCACCTGACCAGATAAGTCCTCTAGCAAGGCCTCCACTGCCTCCGCAGGGTGCGGAACAAGGAATGGAGCGCTTTGGATCGAAGGGCATAACCATAATCAAAATGAATAATTATATTAACTATAAAAACAACAATAATAGTAATAGTAATAATGAATTACTATTGTTATTATAGTAGTAATGATAACAATTCTACCAGCAATAATATTAACTAGAACAATAATAATAATAATAATAAGAATAATGGTAATAGTAGTAATCGTGATAGTACGAATATGAAGCTGGCAACAGGGTATGACAGTACATGACAGGGGGTCCTCCGATGTTCCACCCAGTGCCCGGATGGAGCCCTCGAGCTCCTTGATCTGCTCCTTAAGGTCAATCCCGTCAAAGCTCACAGCTGCACGGTCACTGGAGAAACCCCCCCAAAAAAAAACAAGAAACAGAAAGAGAGAGAGAGAGAGACAGATCTTCGAAGCTGTATGCGGAACTCTGACGGAGACTTCATCAACTCAAGATCTCTCAATGAACGCGCGAATCGCTGAACCACTCGGCGATCACTCGGCGCTCCTGAGCCTGGGAAAGCGGCAGCGGCACCTCCTACAGGGGCACAGCTTGAACATCTAAGTCATCGAGGCAGAAGATACAGGGTGATACAGCACTGCTGTGGGCAGGCTCGTGTCTCAGCATCATGAGGGCACGAGGTCTGCAACATGGCATCACAAACACCGCTCCTTCAGCTTATCCAGGTGGGTCTGCTTCAAGGTGCTCATCGCCTTTGCTGAGAACTGTTCACGGGAAACATGCAGGCCAGAACTCAATCCTTTTGTTTGTTGCGCATCGCCGATAGACAGTCTTCTGATGTCTTCCACGCAAGAATTCCAATACAATGCACCACAGCCTCAATGCCTCAGCCTGGGCTCAAGTCCTGACTATCCACTGAATCACAAAAGAAATGCAACCAAGAGTCTAGCCGCACACCGTCCACAAGCAACACTCGGGACTGCCTCGCAGTAGTCTGCGGGGGCACCACGGAACAAGAGATCCATCCAAGATATCAACAGCGAAGCATCCAACATGTCCAAGGTATCCAAGAGATTGTCTCAGCCGCGAGCTGATCCACACTGCTTTGAGCAGGTGGCAGGTCATGGAGCCTTTCGACAGATTGAAGACCAGTTTTCGGGATTCCGGACAGGCATCGACGCTGGTGAGGGATCGCAAAAAAGTTGGGGTTGACTAGAATCCAAACGAGTCAGAAGAAGCTGAACAAGGATCAAAATCAATACCCCACGTGCCCTACATCATCTGGGTTCGCAGGCTCCACATATTGTAAATTACCGCAACATTACCTATTCACTCTTCGGTTCTTCCCCATTTGCATCAGAACACAGCCCTTTCTTTACTTTGCCGAGTCTGTCTTGGTGTCGGCCTTTCGCAACAAAACATGGCACTTGTCAGTGCTATCAAATGAGGGTGTACTTCAGAGGCAGCATGCCTCGACGATGCAGCTTGCGAATAAGCAGAAAGGCTGAAATTTTAATTCTTTGGGCGAATTCGAAGCGGTGTTTGGAAACAAGAAGAACTTGTAAGGTTAGGCCGTCCTTCCTTCATCGATTCCCTCCTTCCCTGCCTCCCTCCTCCATTTGTTTTTTAACGCTTCCTCCTTTTTGATTCTTGACGATTCCTGTCCGATTCGTTGTTGATCCCTTTGGGCTCACATCGCACACTTTGCAGCCCCGCCATTGAGGGCGCACAGGTCAAGTTTTTTAGCCGCTTCAGAGCCTTCACGTCTCAGGGATCCTAGGTGAACTCAGTTTCTGGATGGCTTCTGTGGGCTCGGGGCCTTTGAGCTGGGCTGAGGCTTCAGCTGGCAGGTCACTGACACGCGGCGTCTTTCACGGTTGCGGGTGTCGTACTCTAATGTCGCCGATAGACCTTGGGATCCAAACGAAACAGATCCCGATCTGAGTCAACGAGGCCCAGCCCCCTAAGCATCCTGCCAGTGATCCCAGCACCTGCCTCAGGACGGAGGAGAACGTGTCGAGCCTGACCAAACCTGACTTCGATTTTTCAAGCTGTCGATGTTGGCCAAGGACTGTTCTGGGAAACCATCTGGGAAACCGGCTGCAAGCTGGAAAGATCCACCTTGTGTCATGTGGCTCTGGATCTGCATTCGACAACCAGTTGATTCAGTCGCACGCAAAGACCCGCCTGCAGCCCACCAGCAACTTGCTTCACGGCTAAGCCACCGGGAACTGCACCTAACTCATATCTGACATCACCACATCTTCAAAGAGCAACCAGTCCGGATGGACACAAAACGCGTCCCTTCCCTCAGCCCCTGACGTGCTGGCAGCGAAGTGCTCGTGTCGGTCGTCAGCACCAACCTCTGCGAATAAAAGCAAGCGCCCACGTTGAAGGGACAGAAGCCTCCCTCGGCTCTTGCTCATGTCCTTTATGCCTGTGTACAATCCTCGCCATATGCAGGAGTACAGCACCCACGTCGAAACATTCTGATGTAACTATATTAAACTCTATACATACATAATGCATACATACATACAGACATACATACATATATACATACATACATACATACATACATACCTACATACATACATACGTACATACATACATACATACACACACACACACATGCTGAATCATGGTTGTCCGGTTTCTGCCCATACTGCTTCCACAGCGCAAGCGAGAGATCCCACATTTCCTGTCCCTGGCCATTCCCCGGAACTCACGAGTCAACTGTGCCGACTCTACACTGAGATCGCTGCACGGGGTTGGCCCCCATCGTCACGAGCAAGTTCGTGACGGCCTCTAGCAAAGAACCCGCAAGTTCCGACGTCTCTCCGCAACTCTTTTACCCCCCTCCTTCAGCCCTCCAGCTGTGGACGAGGGGCATTGACAAAGACTGTGCCCACAAATCCGGCATCGGGAATGAAAGCCTCAGTACAGTCATTGCTGGACACATTGACAGTCGACAGGTTCGTCCCGGAAATGCATCTGGCACTTCGCGGGGTGCGCCACGGACACGCAAGCGCAGCAAGAGTACAGCGATTCCAGCTCAGCTGAACACATAGGAAGCAGATCCGAGCCGCGCCAGCTCATGAAGTAGTTCACTGTCCTGCCGTGTGGGGCATCCGACAATGCGCCCGCCCAGGAAATCCACTGGAAGCGTGAGGGGTCCAGCTCATACCCGAAGCCGAAAGCGCTCAAGCTGCACGGGAGCCTGTGGCGAAGCCCTGCCCTGCAGCTCCACCTCTCACTCTGCGGCTTAGCGCCTTCCGCCACTCTTGTCCTTGAGCCTCTTCAGCATGGGAACCTTTGTCCACTGCAAAGCTGAACAGCTGCACAAAAAAGGTGGGTATGCATGCAGCCTTGCACGCAGCTACCATCACGAACTCGACACTGAGCCGCAGGCAATGCCACGAGGCGGATTGATGTTCGGAATCTCAGCAATAAAGCAACCAGAGCTGAGCCACATCAGCAAACGATCGGCAGTTACACAGGCACCATACTCAATTGCATTTCTCCCGCTCTTCTCGCTCAGGGTCCGACCCCATCTGTAAGCAGGAGGAGATGTTGCAACCTCCCGGGACTCCCGTGTGCCAATCTGTGACACTGTGTGGCACCGAAGGCACACAACAAGTGTTATCATGTGCCGTCATGTGCCGTCATGTGCCTCAAGCCGTCCGATGCAGCTGCAAGAAGCTGTATGCCTTTCCGGGTCGACATAGGCTCCAGCAGTTCGACACCCACTTGAAAGTGCGGCCTGTTTCGAGTCCAGCCTGACGGTTGCGGTAGCAGCTCTAAAGGATCGACTTCCGGATCATGGTTTCCGAATGCTTAAGACTCAGGGCGCTTGGGGGCGGAACCCAGAGATTGGTCATGCCGTCTGGCAGCCTGGCAAGAGTGGAGTCCATGAAGCAACTGAATGCATTGTGTTACACTTTCGCTCAGCTTATACTGATACCAGACTATTGATATGCAAAACGAATAGCAATGACAAGCAGCTACTCTCCCCATGTATGTATGTTGCCCCAATTTGCCCCAAACAGAGCTTGCACTACGGGGATCTTATCGCGAGTGAAGGACTAGATGCAGTCGCTGCCCGCGGGTAGGTAGCGCTCGCTGCCTGTGTAAAACCTCAGCTGCCTGGAATGTGTGAGGACCCTCGACGCTCTTGCTCGACATGCGTTTTCGATCTCTGATACATTTCGCCCTCCGGCCCCTCCCTGCCGCTCAGCTCAGCACAGGGATGGTACATAGGGGGCTGCTTCGCAGTTTCAATGGGTTCAAGACCCGTGCCATTTTCGAGAAGGTGCACCCCTCGTTTAGCTGGGCTGCTTAAAAACGATACTTAATGTCTCTGTATTGTTTCTTCGCGCACTTCTTTTTTTACTTCTTCTATAGCGACATGAAGGGTCAACGGAACGTAAACTACCGAAACAAAATCAAACGGACAGAGTTCTCCGCAGTCCAGAAAATAATCGTCACATGACCATAGCACGAATCCCGTGTTGGGGAACTTCAACTTCAGCACGAGCCTCCTACACAAACATTTAGAACTTCAAAAAGCCTACATCACCTCCTTTGCCCTGCACACGCTGTTAACAACTTGAACCCCAAAAGCCTAAACTCCCAAGCCCTGCAAACCCTGAAGAACCAACCCTCGGCCCCGGACCCTTAAACAAACCCAAACCCTAAACCCCTAACCTAGAGTACCTACCACCCATAACTTGCAGGGAGGGGTTGGCGGTTGAGGCGGGGGGGGGGGGAGCACAACATGGAGGAAGGCCCAACATCGCCCAGCAACCTGACAACCCGAATCTGTGCCAGGCAGACAGCTGGTGCAGCCGCAGCTCGGCTCGTTGTTGACCCTGCTCTTTTTGCAGCTCACTTCCAAGGATACCGTGCGCTGACTGGATGGGAAACGAAGATGCCTCTGGCGTCATCGGTGTCAGCTCAAGGATCACACTCGCCTTGAGAGTCTAAGCGCTGGCTGTGCACACTGCTCTGAGCTCTTAGTTGACGAGACCAAGAAGGTCCTCTTGACTTTAAATACACTGGATCCTTCCCTTCACCCCCCCCCCAAACAGCTCATTCCCTGCACCCTTGGTCTTGGAAGCCCGTCGGACTGTGGCGCTTCACCTTTTTCGCTGCCCCAACTTCATTGAGCTTTTATCTGTGGCGCTCTCTTCGCTACCGCTGCTGCTACTGGTTGCGACCGTAGCCTTTTTTCTCTCTGAGCAACGTCGAACTGTGTGGATTGTGAGGTCAAGTCGATAATTCGTCTTGGTCTGCAATCTGCACGCCGATGTCCCGACGACCGCTGGTCTGAAAATAGCGTGCTGCTGCAGGTATGAGTTGCCCATGACGAATCTCTCATGAGTCAACCGAGTCAAACAAATCAACTTAGCTCTACATGGTTGTGCGCTGTGCGTTCTCCCCCCCCCCCATGGTATCCCCCCTCCCCCCCCGCCTCCTAAGCCCAAAACCCCGTAAATCCTCAACCCGAAAACCCGAAGCCCTAACTCCAAACCCTAAAACCCGCAACGCTAAAACCCTCAACGCTAAAAATCCTCAAACCCTCAAACCAAAAACGTTCAACCCTAAACCCGTAAAACCCTAAGCCCTAAGCTCGTAAACCCTAAAGCCCTAAAGCCCTAAACCCAAAAACCAGCCCGCAACCACACCAACGGGGGGGATGGGCCAACGGCCTGAACACGCCCTAAACTGTCTTTGGCAGTGGGACTTACGGATTCCGAAAGGACGTGCCCTGGCATTCAGCGCAACATACTGATTCAAAAAGCCCTGAGAGGCCCTGAGAGACCCTTCACAAGCCACTTCTCCTAGCCTGTCTGAGGTCAGTCGCCAGAAGGAAGATATGCAACGCTTGATTCTTGCTTTGCGTGGCCTTGGCTGCCTGGCTCTCCTGATCTGCACTTGCGAGAAGTTGCTGCTGACTCTGCGAGCGGTAGTGCCAAATCAAGTATTCCACCGACGCGATTCCCGTGGAAGCTTTGAACTGATTGCAGAACGGCCTTTGTTGTGGCATGTCTTTGGGCTGGTTGCGAAACTGGACCCTTGATGCGGATGAGGATGCTGCCATCCATGTCTTTGTCACGGGTGCAATCAGAACACCCCAGCAGCCCAGTCGAGGGGCACACAAAGCTGTACTGGAACAATTCTCTGGGCACCGCGCCGCATTGCTGTAAGCTACAATGGCCAGCCGGTCTCTTCCATTGAGCAGCTGTATCACTGTCCTCGTGGCACAAAGCAGACACATGCAGCAATGCGAGTGGAGGCCAAGGACGCAGCAGCAGTCCGAAGTGCGTGCTTGACAATGTCAATGAGGGCCAGTCCGTGGCCTCAGCAACGGCAAACGCAGACCTTGAAGCCGACCTTTCGTTAGAAAAACCTCAGCAATACCTCAGCAGCCTGCTTACCGACACTCCTGCGCCATCTGCCAGCATCGCCTCGTCGCATATGAAAGATCTGGACTAAGCCACAGCACTTTGCGGGAAGCACGATCCAGCCCATGCCTCTGCAGCCATAGAAGTGGACACCTGAGCCGACAAACGGTCAACCAACTGCAGTCCTCTTTGATCTGATGCAGTCACTGAACTTGCTTGAAGCGCAGCAGAAGAGGTGCTTGCATCAACGACGCAGCAAATGTCGGAGGGCGTTCGGACATGGCCCACTGGTGGAACCTGGGCCGTGCAACTGTTGTGGAGGCCATGTGCTCTGCTCAGCGACTAGGGCTTACAAAGCGCCTGAGTTCTGGGCTAAAGAGATGAGAATCTCAGAGTCCTGCCACGCAGTCTTTCACCGAGCATGCAAGACATGGCGTGGGTTCTGATTCGCTCTATGGCCCGCACATTGGCCGCCTCCATGCCTAAGTGACGGCTATTGCTCACCCCTTGGCTACTGCTCACCCTGAAGGCTTTGTCTACCGCTGGGATCCAGTCGTACGCCTATCATGTCATAGAATCTTCCCAGCTTCGTTTAACGATCAAAAACCTTTCAGTGGCTCTCTCCTCCATTTCTTCCGCGGACTCGCCCCACCGTGCACCAAACAATGCAACACAACTCTGGACCGGGATGCCGCCGATATGGAAGATGAGAGATGCCTTGTAGTCACCTCTTGACTGCAAACGAGGGGCACAAAGCTACTGCCTGCTCATCTTCAGTTGGAGGAGGAACCGCCTCAGCCTGCGATTGGGATTGCAATTCACTTAGCGCAGCTACCTTCACAAAGAATCACATGAACAAGCTCTGCGCAACCCTGACCCTGACCAATGTTGTCCAAATCTTGCTAGTCAGAGAGAGTCTTTGCACGTGTCCTAGTGGAGTGCTTCGGCGCGTTTGAGGGCGCGTGCTCACCGCTCTCTGCTTTTGCTTAAGTCAGCAACATGGTCACATGGTGCAGAACGTGCGCAGTGGGCGCCCGCTAACATGCGGCATCGAGCCGGGCAAAGGGCGGCGAGCCCTGCGAGGGTGCGACCAAACTCGCCGGCAGGGGGCCACCAACGTGTTCAACAGCCCTGTGTCGCTTGGGACCCTCTCGCGCTGGACAGCGGTATCGGGAGGAGCTTTGAAAGAACCAACGATACGATCAGGCACATCCTCAAGCGGACTTCTGGGGGCACAATCGGCGCGACGGTGTCGGAGCAAAGCCCGAAGCTGCACATGCTATCAAAGCAGCCTGGCGCACATCTCTGCGCCAACGAAATCGGGTCTTGGAACAAACCACGCATGAGCAAGCCCTGGGCAACACTGACAACAGGCATAACGCTCCATGCGTGCGTCCGAGAACCAAACCAAAACAGCGTCTAGCCTCGATAGTTCTAGCTGCAGCCACGGTGGACGGGGCCTCACGATGCAATGCTTGAGTGCTTGAGTGTTTGTTGCACGCTCCCCCAGATGATCCTGAGTCGTGTGATAGATGTTGAGAGAGCCTCCTGTCCCATCAGCGCATCTCGCAGAGCGAAGTTCACACGGATCTCGGTCGAAGAGGTCTCCTCACAGACGCTTGAGCACTCTGTAGCTTGCTAGATCCCTTTCTCTCTTGGAGAAGCGGAAGGCCTGTCGACAGGTTGGACACTGAAACTTCCCAGCGTGAGCAACCTCAGGGAAGAGTTTAGTGTCACTGGATGGTACTGGAATTCAGTTCTGAATGCCTCGAACCTCCAATCGTGTGACAAGCACAGCAGATCGCGGAAGGCGCCCACCCGTACGCTACGGAGCTTCAAAATCCCTTAAATTTCGCATCCCGCTGTCTCGTGCCTGCTCCAAGCAGCTGCTGCAGAAGGTATGTCCACAGTTCAGCACCTTCGACAAGAGCCCTACGAACCGAAGAGGATGAATGGATGAAGAGTTTCGATTCAAGTTTTGATTTGGGTGTCGATTTGGGGTTGATGTTGGTGCCTGCGGCACGCGGCTCGGCAGCGCGTAGCTCTGCAGACCTGCTACGTTGCGATAGCAATACGTTGCAATACTGAGATACCGCTGAGTCTACTGCAGCCCACATCTCCCCACCGAGTGAGAGAAACTTGATTTGAGTCTCAGACATACAGGACACTCCATCGTGCGAACCGCCGTGTAGCGGCGTAGACTTGCAAGCAGCCTTACTGCCTACTTTGCGTTTGGGGGCTAGCTTCCTGCAGAGAGTGGTGCATAGTGCATGGAGTATGGACCTGGAGTATATTGTTCCGCCGTTATGCACATCATCCCACCGAACCCCGTCTTCTGATCCATGACTGAAGCTACTGCCACAGCGAGTTCCAAATAGCAGGAAGGACAAAATAGGAGCTGCCTTCACAAAGCACAGCGCGCAGACATGGGCAGATACTCTTTTCCGCGCTGGGACACATCTTCTCCTGCTTCTGAGAGACAACGCGGACACTGGCAGCAAAAGCCGTTGCGCTGAAGCAGATACCTCCAAGTACAGAGCCCTCCCACCAAGTCTAAGCAAAGCACAGCCAAGCATTTTACACACAACACAAGGATCAAAATCCAAAACAGTTAATACTAGAAGCTTCTTGACTCTCTTGCCGACGCGGAACTCACGCCGTTGCTCCACAGGCCACTCAAGCAATTCTGGCAGCCCGTAGTTCACCACCAATGCCTGGCCCAAGTTGTGAAGCTCTGTTGGAAGTCTCCCTTGGATCCCTCTAAACCCTAAAACCTAAACCCTAAACCCAGACCATACAAAAGATGCTCTTCAAACAGGGCTCATCTCCAGGCTCAAGGTCACGATCCGCCTGGACGAGGCAGGTGCCATCGTCGGGCCTTACAAGCTGTGCCCTTCTCTTAGACGGATTAGATCCCTAGAAGGATGAGGAGGTGACAGGGTAAGCAAAGCAACCGATCAAGAGCTAGGGCCCGGAGAGGAGGGTGAAGTATTTGGGTAGCTGTTGTTGGTAGCCGATCCGACACGTAAGGACATCGAAAGGTAGCGAGAGCTTGCAGCCGACTCCGGGTGCTGTTCTAAACTGTGCGGCATTGGTATCTTCTGGAGCTGTACATGCGCAGATGAGGAGGATGGAGCAAATAAGGGAGAGAGATCTTGGGCCTGCTATTGGCCTGATGCAAGGCAGAACGTAAGGCCATGTAAGGCCGAGCTACACTTGGAATCCTGGCTGAAGCGGTCGGAAGACTTGCCGCAGCCGAACAGTAGGAGCACATGAATGGTTCAATCGGCTGACCTCGACCCAGCAACGGATGGTGCACTTGCATCGCTTCTCGCATTGCATTGCACAGGTCTTGCGTATTTGAACACAGAGATCATGGAGCATCACTTCACGCTGAGGCGCAAGAGAATACACGGCGTAGATATTGGGCTCCGCATTGGGAGACACTTGCTGCAAAAAGCCTTGCATCTTGCGTATGAAACATGTTCGACGGGCAATATCGACAAGATATTCACGGAAAGAAGCGCCACTTACAGCCATGTTGCGGTTGGCCTCCCAACGCAACAATGCCCCAGTCAGGTTTTGAAGTTCAGAAGCTTCTGGCTCTTGGGCTCTTCCATATGTCATAGCCTGCCAAACCTCGGCAGCCTGAGCCTGGCGGCAGGCTCCCCATAATGCTTTGCCTGTTCTGGCTATTACCTTTGCTCTGTTGCCCCAACACAACAGACGCTACGGTGACTTTGCACAGTTGTAAGCTGATTTTGAGACACTGGTTTTGCAAATGCCGCGCCTGCACTCTCGCTCGGGCCTGTGCACTGAAGCCGTCCCCGGCAGAAAGGGACTCGAAGGCTTCGACCTCCACACCTTTGCAGCCCTCTGGCGAGAGCATGAACAGAACGAGGCAATAAAACTCAATGCCGTAAAAAACCATGACGCCGGGCCTTGGGTTGATTCTTTACGCCCCGAAGCCCGCATGTTGAAGTAAGCTCTGCAAACTTCATTCACGTCATTCGCGGTCAAGAGGAACGGCAGCTCCTGGCATCGATTCTTCGCAATCGCATTTCTTCACAGCGGTGACCTGATTTGTTTCGAGGCTTGGGGCCCAATAGTTCTCTCGGTTGATCCCGAGGTTGGGTATGGGGCTTAGAGTTCAGGATTTTGCACCCAATTTGCCGCTTATAGAAATTGTATGGGGTTTGTGTCCGGAGTTTTGCGCGAAAGTTTGGCGGGTTTTGGCCGAAAATTGCTTTTTGTTTTTCGGGTGAAATTGTATAAGGCTTGTCTGGAGTTTTGGGGGGTTTCGGGGGTTTTGGCGGGTTTGGGGGGGGTTTGGGGGGTTTTGGGGGGGCGTTTTGCTCTTTTGCTTTTGCTGAAATTTGGGGGAGGTTTTGTCGGGGGGGGATTGGGTTGTTTTGGGGGCTTTGGGGGCCTCAAGGGGCGCCGGGGGCATCTTTCGGGGCTTTCATTCCTTGTTCAGGGTCTTTTGCACTGTGAAGAATGAAGGAGTATCGTACTGAAACGCGTACAATTCCTATTTATCCTGTCCTTGAGGGTTTAGGGTTTAGGGTTTAAGGGTTTAAGGGTTAAGGGTTAAGGGTTTAGGGTTTAGGGTTTAGTGTTTAGGGTTCAGGGTTCAGGGTTTTGGGGTTTAGGGTTTAGGGTTTAGGGTTTAGGGTCTGTATAGGGTTTATTTAGGGTTTAGGTTTTAGGGTTTAGGGTTTAGGGTGAAGGGTTTATTAGGGTCCAGGGTCTAGGGTCTAGGGTCTAGGTTTAGGGTTTAGGGTTTAGGGTTTAGGGTTTAGGGCTTAGGGCTTAGGGCTTAGGGCTTAGGGCTTAGGGCTTAGGGCTTAGGGCTTAGGGTTTAGGGTTTAGGGTTTAGGGTTTAGGGTTTAGGGTTTAGGGTTTAGGGTGGTTAAGGGTTGAGGGTTTAGGGTTTAGTGTTTAGGGGTTAGGCGGGGGAAAGGATAAACAAATGTTGAAGGGTTCCACTCACACGCGTTGCCTTCAAGAGCATGACAATAGCGAATAGGCAAACTGCATCAACAAAAACCACCCCCCCCCCCCCCCCCCCCCCCCACACGGGCCCACCCCCCCTCCTCCACCCCCCCTCCTCTCCTAGGCCCTCCTAGGCTTGTTTAGGGGTCAGAGGGGGGCCCATCCCCTGTTGGCAATTTTGGAACAGCAAGAACGTATGAGGCTCCCAAAGAGACGACAGCTACAAGGATGGCGAAGCCCAGGGCCCGGGACCAGGATCCCGGGACACACATTCGCCTCGGCTTCCTGCCGAGAAGCGTCTGGAACAAGCAGACCCTCCTGCCAAATTTTCTGACGCCACCCCCCCCCCCCCCCCGCCCTGTGGGACCCCCCCCAATCGCTTGGAGGAGCTGCAAACCGATGCCGTGGAGGGTCCCGCTGTCGGTGCCTCCTACAGGGGAGTGCCCCCAAAACCCCCCCCCCCCCCCCCCCCCCCCACCCCCACCACCCCCCCACCCCCCACCCCCCCCCCCACCCCCCCCCCCCCCCCCACCGGAGCCAGGTTTTTTTTGGGTGTTTTTTTTGGTTTTTTTTGGGTATGTTTGTGGGTTTAGGGTATGCTTTTGGGTTTAGGGTATGTTTTTGGGTTTAGGGTTTAGGGTTTAGGGTTTGGGGTTTAGGGCTTAGGGTTTTAGGGTTTTAGGGTTTTAGGGTTTTAGGGTTTTAGGGTTTTGGGGTTTTGGGGTTTTTGGGGTTTCGGGGTTTTAGGGTTTTAGGGTTTTAGGGTTTTAGGGTTTTAGGATTTAGGGTTTAGGGTTTAGGGTTTAGGGTTTAGGGTTTAGGGTTTAGGGTTAGGGTTTAGGGTTTAGGGTTTAGGGTTTAGGGTTTAGGGTTTAGGGTTTAGGGTTTAGAAAACCAAAAAAAATACCCAAAAAAAACCAAAAAATATACCCAAAAAGAACCCCCACCCCCCACCACCCCCCCCCCCCCCCTTTAACCTCTCTGCCCTTCCTTCTGCGAAACCCTCTTTCCTCCTTTCCTGTCCTGGGGCCGGCCCGGCTGCCGAGGCGGCGCGCGCAAGCGTTTACAATTATTACATGTTTGTGGGGGGCCAGGCCCCACTAGCACCAGTTCAAATCCTAAATTGGGGTCGGAACTGCCCCACCCCAGACCCTGCCAGACCCTGAAACAAGTTGGACGGCGATCCTGCAACCATTGTGATAAGCCCAAGACCAAAACAGCCCACGCAACATGCCTCCTTCCCTGCTCAAAAAGCAACTCATGATGTTCCGCAACTAGCCTCACCTCCAAAAACCCGTGAGACAAGGTCCAGCGTCCGGCTCCGTGCCGCGCTCTGAATGTTTGTGACGGTTTGCATTGCATTTGACTAAGAGCAGCTGCCTCTGGAATTCCCCCCCCCCCCCCCCCGCTGCACCCCGTAGTTCTTCATCGCTCATCGCAAAGGTGCGAGGCGACAGAGATCTGTCTTGGTTGTCCCTAGACCCTGGTTGATGCTTGTTTAGAGTCTTCAAACCTCGGCCGCCTGGCTTGCCAGGGTTTCATTCTGGGAAACAGCTCTGTACGGTCAGCTGCTGGACAAAGACCGACAGAAACCATACTTAGTGATACAAGAAGAGCAGCTGCAACTGAGAGAGACGTTGTTCCAGAGCACAATTCAATAACGTCAAATTTTCATCACGTCAAGCAAAAGCAGCATCTTACGGCATCTTGCAGCGTACTTTGCGGCGCAGACTTTGAAGACGTTAGAAGGCCGTCCCATGCTGTCCCAAACCCCTGGCTATTGACAACTGCAATGTGTGGTCAAACTAAGTCTGAAACACCTATACTGGCCGGAAAGCTAAAAGCCTTTCGTGAATTTGCAGCTTCCTGCCTCTCCTTGAACACCACGCTGCCAGCAGTGAAGGCTCTACTGGCTTGCAAGCCCCTTCCTGATCGAGCGGTCTCCACAAGCACAGCACTAGAAGTCGAAGGGTTGGACCTCGCATGCTCCGGCCTTTGATTGAGTACATCTTGCAGGCAACGCATTTGTTGACATCTGAATGCAGAAAAAAACAAGCGGTAAGACTATGTGTAAGGTGAGAGTACTTGAGAAAGTGCTGCTTGAACAAAAACCACGGCGCCGGACACTGTATCCAAATTGGAGGCACTGCTCTGGGACAAGGGCCGTGCGCCCGCGAAAGCGCGGATGCAAGAAGCGCACCAACCACCTCCCAAGTCCCAAGCGCGCAGTAACATATACCCCTAGTCGGAGTCTCTTAGTCACACCACAGGCATTCACACTCATTCAAACAGGACAGCACGAAGAGAACTCCGCTCCAACTCCAGTCCAACGCCTTCCAGATCTGTCAAAGCTCACAACTTCGCACGGTTCTCCTTCTAGCTCTTGCGACACGCCTGTGCAGCTGCAGCAATGTGAAACAATGTTCAGCTAAAGTACTAACTAAGAACTAGCTAGCTTAGCAGCTAAGTACACTTTCAGTACACTTTAAGTACACCAAGTACACTCTAAGCCATTGTTCGAAGAGAACCTCGATTGGACATACATTCGGCCTGTCAAGTAGACCGTCGAGCCGGCAGGAAGCCGCAGTTGCAAGCCATGGATTGCACAAGCTGCCACACCTGAGCGCTCACCTGAGGTTCGGCGATTGCCAGCGCGCCTCTGAAAAGGCAGAGTTCGCAGTGCCAGGAACGAGACGACTGCTGCGGTCACGTGCCCTGAAGTGGGCACCCAACTCGGCGGCAGCTGCCTGAGATGAAGGGTCCATCCAGTCTCCACCCGTGTGCGCGGAGCGCCCTCGCCAAAGCCCAGTGAAGCAGGGATCATCGACGGAGTTGCACCGGTTGCTCGTAAGGGCACTTCCCGCCGTGGTGCTATATACATGGCATGGCATCAAAGCTCATTCTTCAGATCCGATGTGCTTCTTTGGGGGGAGCACCCGAGCAACAAGCAGAGGAGGATTCTCTCACTGGTGGCTGTTTGCCCTCTGACGACGGCTGTGCACTTACTACGCACTTTACGCACTTTTTACGCCTCTCTCCCTCCCGGCTCTCCGGGCTCACTGCGCAGATTTTTGCGCGCGGTCCACCCCCTTTGGCCCGTCTTTTGGCTGGGTGGTAAAAGCTTAACGGCTTAAACCTTCACAGACTGCCAGGGGCAAAAGTCTGCTGCAAATTGAAAATTGCACAGCTCTTGATGGATGTCAGTATCTACAAGAACCACCAGCTCCAACACAAGTCACGGACAATTTTGATGTACATCCTCCAGGAGCATGCGATCACATAAAAAAATAGGTCTTAAACTGGCATTAATTGCCTAGGACTGCTACTAAGAATACATGTCACGTGTCACCTTCCGCATGGTGCGAAAGCCTTTGGCTGAATCGCCGCGGTTCGAAATGGAGACTGCCCGCCATGTTCATGCACTCTTCTACTCGGATAACTTGTCTGCAGGACACAACGTACGCCAGCGTGAGAAATGTAGCCACTAGCGCAAAGCTTGTTTGTGCAACGAAGGTAAAGGGGTCGTGAAGAAGCGCAATGTCTGATGCGTATTGGCAAGCAGCAGCTGTCCCAACAAAGAGCATGTAGCTAGACTCTGCCTTAATGCCCAGGGAGCTATTGGCCACCTTCAACAGAAGTGTGGAAGACGCCAAGCTCAAAGATCCATATAAGAACAAAGCTGCGAAGTGTGGCCAGTCCAATGTCCATAGCACACGAGCTTCTTCGGGGAAGATTAAGGCCACCGGACTGAACATGATGAGCCCTACTCCGCCCGACCAGGTGAGCAGAACAGTATGATGCACAGAACCACACAAGTTGCGCTGAACCAAGGCAGATGTCGCCATGGCCAGGGCGGCTAACAAGCCCAAAACCGTGCCAAGGAGGGTTGCCTGGCTGCTATGAGCTGCAGCGTTCAACATTGGTAGCACCGACAGCAAGAGCCCCACAGAGGCCAGACTCTCATCCCATTCAATGGGCTCCCTGAGAATACACTGCTTTAAAATGGCACCGAAGCTTGACAGCGTCGCAACCCCAGCAAGTACGTATGTCCCAGGTGCCAGATGCACGGCGCCACATAGCAGCATTGAACTGGCACTGATAGAGAAAGTGCCGAGAAGCATCTGAATTGCTTGCTCAGGACAATCTGGAAGTGCAGATGGCTTGCGTGGGTGAAATCTCACAAGCGCCACACCCGTAAACGCAAGCATGACGAATCGCGCGTAGATGAGATCTAGGACACCAATGCCCGCTCGCAAGTTTGCATTCTCGGAGAGGTTGGTACCCACTAGGCTCAGCGCAGCTAGTATAGAGGTGAATACTCGACTGTGCTCAAAACCTCGTAGCGATGCCAACTCTCCGACCAGCACCAAGCTGCAGATGGCTGTGGCCATGCAAAAAACTGACTGCGGCTGCTCGATGACGTCCAGGGACACGGCTGCTTGGGCTAGCTTCTTAGCCGTGGTCCAGTGCTGGCGCTTGCCTTGCGGTTGCGGTTGCGGTGAGACCGCAGAGATCGCAGCCTCTGGGTCCCAGCGCAGCACGTTGCTGGCAAACACCCCGGACGCATTGAACGGCGCCACATCTGTTCGCTGGCTCGCCTCAGCCAAGGGAAAATGCGCCCCTCACCTATGCCAAGACTGCCTCAAGTGACACCAGGTGGCGTTGGCGAGCGCGGCTGGTGGCATAGTGTGTGCCTTGCTTCATGCGTTAGTCTAAGCATAGGCTTCAACCAGCCACACAGATTTGGCATGATTCGCATGATCTGTGTCTTTGCTACGCAAAGCAAAGCTTCATGAATCTTCTAGCCAGGGCACTGCCAATCCTGTTGTTGCAGGCGGTCCTACAAAGACAGCAGATTTTCGAGGACCGTTCAGGGGCAGTTCAAATGCTGTGCATCGCGTCCTCTTGGAAGCTGCAAAAGTGTGGCATCGTCATCACATGACTCCTGCCCACAGCAGGCTGCACCAGATCACAACCCACCGATGGGACGAGGACATTTACGCCATGCTATGGGCTAACAGTATCTACCCCCATCCAAAGATTGCTTCGGCTGTCTTCGCGTCCTGTACAGCAATGGCAGTGACAATCAGTCCACACAGCTGCAACGTCCAAGACATCAACGGAGACCTGCCGAGTCTGGCCATTCGCAGCAACGCAGCACTCGGACGCAGGGCAGACAGCTCGGCAACTGGCCTGTTCGGTAGGGTGGGGCTGGTAAAACTTCCGAAAGAAATAGAGTATTTCGAGCCACACGTAAAGATGCGTGCTTATTCCAGCAGTGCTTGCCCCTGGCAACTTCGGACACAAAGCAGTTCTGCAAGCAGTTTGTGGCAACCGAGGAGACACACCAGGCTTAGTGCTGGCAAGACTAGCTCTTGTCTTGGACAAGAACGCTGGCATTAGCAGCAGCTTCCGAAATCACAAACATATTTAAGATCGAGCCCGCTGCCGCGCGCATCTGCGGGCAAGGCACGCTGCAGGTCTCTCGGAGATCAGAGCTTGCAAGCATTAGCAATTCAAGGGCGACGAGGCGCCAACTGCCTTGCCAAAAACCCATGACCACCAGCCAACAATCAAGCCCTTTCTGAAACCCTATGCTTGCAATTTTGTGGCATGTATTATTCGGTTGGTAGGTAGACCAAGCATTCACATCAGCTGAGCTTGCCACGCTGCACGTCGCATGTGGTCCAGCTGCTGGATTTTTTGGAGTCTCAGAAGCGACTGTTGAACCTGTCCCAACGGACAACTTTACTGTTGCTTCTGACAGACTGAGACAGCCTTTTCAAGATCGTTGGTATGCACCCTCTCCGTTCAACCATGTGTGAACTTGCCGGGTCCGGCTGTGCCAAGTCTCGCCTTCTCCCCGGTTGGTTCGAAGTTCAACATGTTCAAGTCTTCGGGCCTCAAGCGGCGCCTCGTTTCCAATCGAAGGGCATCAACACACATCCAACAAGTGCCGGTCGGATCATCTTTTGCTTCCAGGTAGCTCCGGAGACACTGTGCGAGGTTTAACCTGCGGCAGCAGAGATGATGGAAAAGCTCAACTCATTCCAACTCCATGCAGGTCCCATGCTGGAGCTGAACGGGACGCTGCCACAGCACAGTAAGCGTCAGCACGCTGCACCTGGAGCTGTTGGACCTGCCACCGCCACCGTGGCAATTGCTCGCGCCTGACAACTGTTGTCAACCAATAGTCGAAGGCTTTGAGGTACGCCCAAGGCTTGACAACAGAAAGCTCAAAGAATGCTGAACTCGCTGCGCGCTGGGCTGCAAACTGAGCGTTCCAGAGCTCCTGCCTTGGTTTGCGCAAGCGTTTTTTTATATCCCAAGAGATTGCTCTCGGGGAGGTAGGTATACCGGCCATTGCCCCGGCCACGCGTCTGCCAAGAGCCCAAGAGCCCAAGAGCCCAAGAGCCGAGTGATGCCGAGCGGCTGCTCCTCTTGCCACCGCTGGAGCTCCCAGCTCGGAGGCCGCGGAGCCGACGGAGCCGACGGAGCCGACGGAGCCGACGGAGCCCTGTGCCTCCAAAGCTCCAAAGGGCAAAAAGATCTCCCGGGAAAGTGTGTATTTAGCGTGTGTGATGCACCCGGGCAACTCGGCAGATGCAGACGATGCTCCGAAAGCCTCTTGTCCGAAAGCTTTGAGAGCGCGGGAGCCGCAGGACGGGCTTGAGCATGCAACACCTGCCGATGTTTGGTTCGCGCTTCTCAAAAGTATGCAAGAAGTGCTTCAGAGTGAGCCTTGCCCCCGTAAGGTCCGCAGCTGGTCTCGACCCGAGATCCGAAGAGAGCCTCAGTTGTCCAGTCGTCCAATCTCGTTTTGCATCTTCGAAGCCAAGTTGAGAAAGAAAACTCTCTCGTCCGAAAAAGGCCATGGCTTGGTCCGGTGAAGTGACAACCTCTAAGTTGGCAATGATCTGCGGCATGTCCCTCAGTTCTCGTCCAGCTTAAGCACCGTTTGCGTCGCAACTCTTGAATCACGAACCATTCACAACCGTGCCAGCGCGTCGCGGTCCAGCGGATGGAAAGCCCTGGCGAGACACAAAGAGCACGTGACCTCTACAACTAGCATGCAGAGATGTAGAAGAGCACAGACCGGCGCTGACAAAAAGAGGCAGAAACTGGGACAACTTGGGACATCTTGGAACATCTTGGGATTTGGAGCCCCGGTGACTCCCTGGTGCCAGCTCGGCCTCGCTTGGGTGCCACCGCCTGGCGGAGTGCCTCGCGGAAGCTGGCCCCGCGCCACGGCGGCGCAGCGCCCTGGTCTTCGGGCGGCCAAGAGAACAGGCCCGCAACTGCTGGGAGACGTGCTACGGTCCCACAAACTTCAAGTTAGATCACATGACCACACACGGAGAACTTCGCACTTCGGAGATCTCATCGCACTGCTGCTCGCCTTGTCATCGAGGGCTGCTCCGCGGAGGCGAAGTCTCGCAGTGACCAGTCGCCCTTGGCCCTTCAGCAGCTTACGGACCTCGACGCCACTTGAAGCGGATGATAGCGGATGCCTATTGGGGGTCCATTCCGAAGCATCTGATCTCGTCTCTTAGACAAAAAGTCGCTTGGGTACGCACCTGCACATTTCCGCAGTAGCCATCCTCCTGCTGTCACTCTAGGATGCTGATCTTGTGCTGTCACAAACTTGCGCTCTAGCACACATGAGACTGGATAATTGCGGCTCCTCCAGCTCTTCTTCGGACTCGTCGTCTCCAAGCAATGACCAGCCCGCCTGTCAAGCTATGCGAGGGTAGCCAAGGCCAGCCAAGGCAAGCGAGAAGGCAGATGATGCATTTGCATGGGTTTCGTGAAACCTCCTCCTTCTGCCGGAGAAACGGACAGGGCAAGCCAAACCCAGCAGCTGAGGCCTTACACAGCACAAAGAAGCTGCCATGCAGGGTCATGACTCCACCATGGTCGGAAATCACTCAGTGTCCCGACCTCTGCAAGCGCTTGCATCAGCCTGCATACCGAGATTTCGATGCCCCAGAAAACTAGTCCGCCAGGTCTTCTTGTCTTGCACCCCTGCACATCCCTGCACCCTTCCTTTTTCGTAGCCCGTACATCTCACAGCCGTCCATGAACCACAGCTCCCTGTGCAAACCCTTCATCTAGGCACAACCCCCTATCTAAACCGTTTAAACCCTAAACACAATCCTAAGCATGCTCATAGAGCAAGCATGGCCCATCACAAGTCTTAAAAGCCCTCATGACAGCACAACAACCTCGCGCTCTTTCAAGAACCGATAGGGTATGCTGGTTACAATTACAATTTCCTGATTCTTTCCTTCTCCTGCTCTTCTTAATTGAGCATGTCAATTTCTTCAGTGCTCTCTCTGGCACTATGCGGTGATGCAACGGGGGGGGCAGTAGGCGTACAAGTGGTGCAGCGCCCTCTGCGCCTGGGATCCTCGAGAAGATCAGAAACTCTTGCTGCCGTACGCGCCGTGTCTTCCGAAGTCGGAGCTGGCAACCAGGTTGACATCCCAAACAAAATTGGCAACTCAGAAACCCTATCCGGACATGGCAGGCTCACCCCACTTCAGTTCCATTGCCAGGTCCAGCGAGCGGGCATCCCGCTCGGCTTCTGCCAACTTTTCCAGAACAAAGGCCTCCAAAACATTCGGGGACCGGCACTGGCACTCGGCCCATCGCAAGCACTGAAGACTTCTTCAAAGCACATCTCCGAAGCTCCGTTAGAATTTGTCAGATCAGCCGGCTGTCAGCCTGGGCACGCCGCCAGGCGAGCTCCCGCAGCGCTTGGTCGTCACCCTCACCCGCGAGATCCTCCAGCTCGTCGTCGTCCCCTCGGCTGACAGCATGTGCACGTATGTGCAGAGGCAACGTCAGGCTGAGAACCACGCCAAACCGCACATATCTCGGGGCCACCCGGTCCCTCAAGAAGAAGTCATGTTCCCAAGCACTTCAACTGACCGCACCTGCTGCATGCAATGTCATATGCATGAAATAGCAGACAGTAAACTGCTAGTGTCGTACTGTAGGGTTTGATTCGCAAAAGTGTGTTATGTCAAAGGCCAGAATAGTAACATGAATTGAAGCTGGACATGTTGAGGCAAACCTCCATGACACGACCGTGTCTCCTCGGCACCTGCTCCGTACCCTCACGGGAAACTTCGAACTGTGTCCAAATCATCTTTTATCAAACCTTTCCTGGCCCTTTGCAGTTTGGATAACTTATATTGAAGCCTGTTTCGACAAGGCACTTTGCATGCACAAAAGGCCCCGCCAATCTCTCACTAGCCACGAGTCACTGGCCTTGAACCCACCCGGCGTACCGAATCAAGCCCGCTTGGCGCCAGATGCCGTGACCGACAAACAGTAGGTCGATATGTTACGATTGACAATTCTAACGCTGAAAAAACAGCTATGTCTGGGATTCCTGGAATCCGGCAACTACAAACACAGCAAACTAGCTGACGTGTGTTGTGTTTTAGTGTATTTGGCAACTCCGACGCTGTAAACTGCCCATACAGGCATTGCATGCAGATGCACACGTGTTCAACCTTCAAAACAATGTTTCGCAACCAGATTTGGAAACTTCGGTAACTGGAGAAACCTGGTTCGGGAAACTGGAAAGCGGATTCCGGAAACAAAAAGCGTTGATTCGGGAAACCGGAGAAACCCGCTGATTCAGGAAACTGGAAAACGTGAATTCGGAAACCGGAGATTCGGGAAACTGGTAAAACCGCTGATTCGGGAAACTGAGAACCATGGGGAAAGAGGAAAGCTAAAAGCAGGCGCTATCCTACCCCCCACCCCACCCCCCCCCCCGCCCAACCCCCCCGTTTGCTGAACCGTGTGCTGTGTGCTTGTTTTCCGTTCCTGAATCGCGGTTTCCCGAAGCGCATGCAGGCAGTTTCCTGAATCGCGCAGGTCCCTGAGTTGTCCGGTTTCCTGAGTCGCCCAGTTTCCGGAATCCTGGTTTCCTGAGTCGTGGCCAGTTTCATGGTCGTCAAGATGTTGCGCAGGTGCATGACCAAGTGACCAAACCCAAATCACAGCCGGCTCTCCCACACCCTCGCCAGCACCGTCTGCCCGCTGTTGCCAAAAGCTTTGCGCACAAGCCCAGGCTGCCGCTCGTTGACAGCTTTCAACAAGCTTCGTGCTGGAAGCTCAGCGATGAAACATGATGCTGAAAAGGCTGAAAGTCCTGAGGCCGCGGCGACTCTGCAGGTGTTGCCGCAGCTGCTGCAGCCTGGGCCCCTGGAGCTCAACAAAGGGGGGACTTGGAACAAGACCCGGCACTTTTTGCGCGGAAGTTTGTGGCATGATGTCGCCTGCCATGCCCAGCTGTGCCACAAGGTGCTCGCCCACGTTCGCCAAGGAGTTCACCCATGAAGGTGCCTCGCCACAGTGGATCTTTCCATATCTTTGCGCTTTACAGGCCTTCATGAAGGACAACAGAAGAAGCGGAGAAATCCGGAAAACGAGGCCTCACTTACACGCAGTCGCTTCACAAAGGACACGCTGAAGTGTGCGCAGTTGCAGCCTCAGTCAGGCTCTGTTTACTACTACTACTACTACTACTACTACTACTACTACTACTACTACTACTACTACTACTACTACTACTACTACTACTACTACTACTACTACTACTATACTACTACTACTACTACTACTACTACTACTACTACTACTACTACTACTACTACTACTACTACTACTACTACTACTACTACTACTACTACTACTACTACTACTACTACTACTACTACTACTACTACTACTACTACTACTACTACTACTACTACTACTACTACTACTACTACTACTACTACTACTACTACTACTACTACTACTACTACTACTACTACTACTACTACTACTACTACTACTACTACTACTACTACTACTACTACTACTACTACTACTACTACTACTACTACTACTACTACTACTACTACTAGTCTCTCTTGTACTGGGCCAGCGCTGGCATGTGAAATTCAAAGTGTCTCACAATATAACTTTAAGCCCCTTTTGCTTTGCTTTCGCGTCCGAAGGCCTTCTTTGACAATTTGAGCAAAGAGATGAACCCCTGCATGTGCACGACAACTGCCAACCGAGATCCAAGCGTAAGAGGTCGTAGTTGGAGCCTGGTAACTCCAGCCTGATGGTACAACAACATGTCCAACAACACTGCCAGGGCTATGACATCTTCCATACAAAATGAGACCAATGGAAATCATAGGGTGCTTGCCGCATCTTCTCTAAGACGCGAAAAACCTGGAAATGGCCATCGAGCGCACAAGCTAACTGACGACTTGCCAGTTCTGAGAACAATGCCTCGTCTGCTGTGAGTGGTGTTCGTCCTAGTGGAACTCGTTCACGAAAGGTGCCAAGCGTACTTTGTCCAGGAAAGACCTCACCAGGTGCAATTGTTGATTGTGTTCACCAGTAGTCATGCGAGTGAAAGCAGCAATGCTGGGTAGTTATGACATCGCGCGATCGGTATGTGCAGCAAGGGCTATGGTTGTGCTAATGATACTGGCAGCGTTCGTGGAGCAAGTAGCCAAGCCGTCTTCGGCTTTGTTTTTGCAGCAAGCGCGGCTGCAACATCGAGATGTGCTGCCATTGGTGCTTGTTTATGTGGACGCCCGCTTGAGTGGCCGCTGGCAGGGGCACAAGCCCAACACCTACGAGCGCAAGCCCGTTCATCCTAAGTCGCATGTCAAGTAACTCTACAAAAGTGCAACTCCAAGTCCGGCCCTGCTTCGGCTCTCTGCCTTGCGCACATTGCAGCACTGATCGATAAACTTTCGGTTCTGAGACGCAGACCATGTAGACGCCACTGCCCTCTTCACACCATCCGAAAGACCACTCGAGCCAGTACACCTGTTGCTTGAAAGACCATTGGTCTCAGAAAGCTGCAAGTACTTCAATCCTCAATCATTGTCAATCAACATGACAGTCACGAGTCATGGCCTCAACTCCGACATGGTAAGCACCTGTTACGTGCACATCACGTGCTATAGACAGACGAAAGCCCGAAGGCCCAAGGGCCCAATGGCAACAGCTGAACAAAAATCGCAAAGCCTCCCATGTCTGCAGCTCTGGTGAGCAAGTTGAGAGCTGATGTGCCATGCAGCTCATAAATTGATAAGGCCACCTGCACATCGCACGTCACTCGCGCATGCTCGCGGAATGTTCGCAGAATGTAAGCGAATGCGCGGCTAACGCTCACGCTGCTCCAACCTCGGCCCAAGGAGGAGGCACACGTGACCCAACACCGCTTGGCTGCATGCCTTCGTCAACTGCTGGATGCATCTCGTCTGGCAGGCACACACTAGTTGCCTCGCGGCCGTTGGCTTTGCCAACGACCCACTCGGCAGCATGGCCATGGCCAGGTAGACTCAAGCCTACTACTAAATCTCGCATGGAAGATCGCTTCTTGCAAACTTTGCCATTGTGAAAGGTCGATGCCTGTTTGGCTAACATGTCAACTTGCTGGGGAACCTGACATCCCATGGCCTTGTGAGCCCAAGCACCGATGCAGCTGCTGAGATCTGCTGAGCATGACCGAGCATGTTGAAAATCGGCTAAGGCTGATGGACAGCGCCCTGAGCGCACACCTAAGGCAATCTGTCGGACGACTTTTTTTAACAACTGCCGTGCTAAGTCACAACACCGTCCGGCAAGTCCCAGCAAGTCTCACCCGTGTCCTGCGGCAGGGAGCACAGGGAAAGCGCATGCTGCTCAATGCCGTGATACTGCATTTGCTGGCATGTCTTTCTGGCCTCGTTTAGGTAGTAGAACTCTCCTGGCGCCTGTGAACAAACGAACAAAGGGACAAAAACGGACGAGACGCTGGGAGATGAGCCTGTTGCAGTGCCAAAAGTCCCCAGCCAACTGCCTCTTGCCTTCCCCTTGTCTTCCCTCGTGCTGCAGTAGGCCCGAGTGCAAAGTCCAGTAGTGTTCTCTGTTTCTGTGCTCCCCTCCCGGGGCCTTGATAGGAAAACAAGGCTTGTTTGGCATGTTTGGCTCATACGATTGCAAGCCTCTGGATGCTCATGGACCGTCCATGGCGGCGGTGGCTTCGGCTCCTCGGGCACTTTGATAACTTTGTCCGTCTAACCTCTAGCTGCAGCTGCAGCTACAGCAGCATCGAGCTCAAGCTCTCCTTTGCGAGGGAATCTTTTGGTCTATCCCAGGTTGTCTCGCCAGTCTCCTGAGCTTCACGAGGAGCAGCCTAGATGTCAGCAGTACTGAGCGCGTTGAGATGGCAACCATGTTCAGGTAGTAGAACTCTCCGGGGGCCTTGCGTTTTTGGGTAACTCAGTCTTGCTAAGACTTTTACTCAGCTGCAGAGACCATCTGGCCTCTGGGTGCTCTCGGACTTCCCAGGGGTCCGGTGGCTTTGGCGGTCTGTCTTGCAAAAGCCTGCAAGCAGCGTCGGCACGATCTGTGCGAAGCCGAAGTGGTTCTGCTTGTGCTGGCATGACACACACACACACACGCTCACACGCTCACAAACAAACACAGACAGAGAGCCTTCAACCTGCATCGCCTGCACTAATTGCAGTCATGCCCCCTACATCCTTCTTTCATCATCACATTGACATCAGAACCACAAAAACAACCGAACAAGCAGCTGGCTGTGATTCAGCATGGCGGTAAAGGCAAGTAGCAGCAAAAAGAGATGCAAATGCCAGCCACGTAAGGGGAGTGCGGAGAGATTCCAGTCTCTAATGATGTTGGCGTTTAGATCTTTCAGCTGGAAGGAAAAATTTCGTCCCAAACACAGGTTCGGGTACGGGAAAGGGCAGCGGAATGACTTCATGGCAGGTCACTCCTTGCGACACAGTGGGTTTCTCTAAGTTGTCTTCTTGAACATGTCTTGACGGCACCTGCCTGTAAGATGAACTTGCTTTGCTATAATGTCCTGTACTCTTTCAGATATCATCTTCCGAGGAGGGCTTCCGACTTCACAGCTGCAAGTGCTTGCCAAGCCATGTCCAGCGTGATCTCACGTGTATGGCGCACAGTTGACGTACTGAAGCTGCGCCTGGTGTCCTCCCATGCCTCCTCATCCTGAACAGCATTCATGATCATGCTTCTACATGATGCTGCATGCTGCTACATGATGCTACAGGATGCTACAGGATGCTACGGGATGCTACAGGCAAAACACGGGCCTGCTCGGAACGCTCATCGTCCCTGTCGGCTCGCGAACCATCAGGGCCACCACGGCCATGAAGGCCGTAACGGCCATCAGGACTATCCCGGCCATAGGGACGATGAGAGCCGTAAGGACGGTCATGGCCATATGTATGACCGTGATCTAGCTCATCGGAGCCATCAGGACCATCAGGGTCATTTGCCTCCTTAGCTGAGAGGCTCAAGAGTAGAACTCAGATGCTTAAAGGCGAACGAGTCATCACTCAATACAATGCATGAGCATGAAATTTGAGGTCCGGTCCTCATCCTCAGTGCCAAATCCGTGGATCCTGTGGAAAGACTGCCGACGTAAGCAGCAGACGAAGACAAGAACCCTGTCCCTGGCCTTCCCAGTGCATTCAAAATGGCTGAGGGAGATCCGCACACGGTAGCCACCTGCCCGCAAATGCAGAGCAAAAGCTAGCCGCTAGCGATTAGTTCGTGCAACTCGTCATAATGTTCGCAATGTGCTTACTGGCTGCACACTCTTTCGAGAGGGCACTCGGCACCGCACCCGATCCATCCCTGTGGAACCGTTCTCTACCTGGAGGGGATTTAAGAATCGCCACGAAGCGAGCATAGAACGGAGTAGCGTCAGCATAGCGTCAGCATAGCGGCAGCACAGCGGCAGCATAGCGGCACACAGCGGCACATAGCGGCACAAACCTTGCCTGGACACTTGTGCCCGTCGCTCTTTGAAGATCCTAGCAACCATCTTTTTCGGAGTCTCAAAATATGTCAAGTCTGAGGCCAGACAGGTCCTTGATGTTAGCCCCTCTTCTGCCGATGACCACGGCAGCAAGGTGCCTGCAACCGGCATGTTGGCATGTTGAAATTCGGCAGCAGAGGGCCGCTTGTGAAGATGCTATTTTATAAGAGCTGATCAGAGCAGCTGCTGGCCGCGGGTGTGCATTACACTCTTCTGCGTGGGCTGGCAACTGGCCTGGGAAGCAAAATTTTCAGCTTGTTGCCACCTGAGAAGAGGAGCGCACAGTATGCCCAACAGACTGGGGGACTGCAAGCGAAACGCCACAGCGGGTCAGGATATGTCAGGTTGACACCTCTTCCGATGCAGAGGTCAACATGGAGATATTTTACGACAATGTTGCGACAATGTTGCGACAAGTCGAACAGTCAAACAAGCCAACCGTGGCCCAGACCAAAAGCTCGGCCGTTAAGAGATCTTGCCTGTTCGGAAGCCAGCTGGCTGAGAGATCCTACAAGTATGGGAGATTCTGGAAACTCCAACCCCAGCCTTGCCAAGCAAGTCTTCCACAGCCTCAAGTTTTCAAATCTTCTCCAGTCCAACAGACAAAGCCTTCATTGGGATTGCTAAGAGCCCAACCGCCTGAAGCTCGCTGCCTCGTTGCCCGCGTATGATGAGCAGCCGGTGCCCCTCGACGAACTGGTGCAACCTTACGATGCTTTGCATGGGTCTCTGCACAAGATGACAGCCAAAACGATCAGGCCGAATTGAGTATTGAGTATATTGAGAAGGCAACTCACCCACAGCCTCCATTAGGTCAACTGTGGCCTGCCGAAGCTCTAGCTGAACTACACAATTGGTCATTCATCGCAGAAACCGATCCCGCAGCAATGCGCATGATTGCATACTCAAACACCAAGTACGCGACGGTACCCGATCATGCACTGGCAATTCAAGACAAAAATGTAACGTTCTCTATGGAGCCTTAAACCCAAAGATACCACCAGGAGAGGCAAACAAATTAAAATGTTCAAACAAAAAAGTCGGAGGATTTCGGAGGACGATGCGAGCTGCCAGCAAAAGAAACACTTGCCTCGAAGTCTCGAAAGCGCGGAATCTTCAAAGAGAGACTTCTGAAGGTGCCGTGAACAGCGACGTTCACACATGATATTGATATTGCGCGGGCGAGGTGGGTCCTACCAGGAAGAGCACCGAAGACGTGTTCCCGTCAGATTGTCTGTGGGTAAGGCTCCGAATCGCCACTTCATCCGAGCATCTATGTGCAATCCCCTGCCTTCGACTTGCTCGCAACGTCTTTCAGAACACCAGCTTGATGAAGGTCTTCTGCGAGCACATTCGGCAGAAGTACCTTGAGAAGACATTCAAGTTAAATCTGTTCATGAGATGGCAAAGACTACCAAGACTTCACCTAGCAGACACTGGCACAAATGCTGTGCCCGCACCTTCATCTCTCCACCCGCAGCAGGCCATTTTTCGGGTCGGATGCCTGACCACATGTCTTCAATGAGAGGAATGAGAGGGAGGGTGACTTGAGGCAATTTGCTGCAGAATGTGCCGAGGCACTTCTGCTTCGCTCACGAGTAGGGGGATGGTGTCGAGGAGCATCCCGAGGAGCATCCCGAGGAGCATCCCGAGGAGCATCCCGAGGCGGCTCGCGAGGAGGGTCGCGAGGAGGGTCGCGTGGCGTGTGAAGGGGCGTGTGAGCTGCACGGCGAGCTTCAAGATGAGGCTCTCCTGTTCATTAAGCTCGCTCCCGATGTGAGATGCTGCATTGAGAGAAGGAAGGAAGGGCCAGAATCATGATCTCATTTAGGGCCTCCCTAGGCTTTTAAGCTCAAGATTCAGAAGACACAGTCTCGACATGGCTGGACTTCGTCAAGCCTCATGGGAATGTGCCGGCAGCCGGCAGACCCTTGTGCATAAGATTCCCATGCAACACGAAGAGCTCTGAGCCCTGACCGGTCCTTTGGAGGCGGGCCGCCTTGCTTGCCTGTGTATTGACCTGTGAAAGCTCAAGCTTGACAACAATGTGCTGGCAAAGCAGCTTGCAAGCCCGAAAGGTCTCTCGCCTGCTTCGATTTCGGCTTGATATTGCTCGCTCTGGGCGTGCCACGCCATTGCCTTCAATTCTTGATCCTAGTTGTCACTGCTCTTGGCAG